CGGAAAAAACAACCCAAAGCAAGGTTCCATTAGGCACTATTTAAACAATTTGAAAAAAGCTGGTTAAAAAAAGAAGCTCGATGTTTCGAATTGACGCAAAATAATTTACTCGATTGGCTCTCCATCTGCAAAGCTTTACAGAGACACAATGAAATTGAACTATTCCTTATATATTACGGATAAACAAATTTTGCGAAAAAAAAAAAATGTGTTCCGCAATCTGCGGCAAACCACGACTGATGCCAAGGGGTGCTGTCATGTTTAATTGAAAGGGGGTTATGCATCATCAGGTGTTGCTATATTCGTTCGGATTTCTGCTGTCAGCAATTAACAATACTGACCGGAACAACAAAACCGAAAAGGCGTCGTCTTCCACCATAGCCATGCCAGCGCGAATATATGTTTAATTACTCGAGAAAAATTATGAGAGCTTGCATGGGAAATGTTAATGTATCCAGCCTATAGCGCAGACCTTGCACTATAAAAAGATTCTCAGTGCCAATGATGGTACTTTCGATAACGCGCTTTTTTGCTAAGCTGGAGAAATGCGTGGCGGCATTCGTTTGAATCCAAACGTGGACGCACCTCGTTTCGTGATGAGAGCGAGTTGCGTAATAAAATTCCTGACAGCGGTACCGGAGGTAAAACCTATTTAGCAAAACATTCAAATTTTACACGATCATCTGTTCCAGTCTGCGCAGAATTCTCTTAATTTTGTTAATTTCGTACCAAATGAGGGATCTAAAAGCACTTGCTGCAATTTTTCGCCTGAAAACCACCGACGTTTGACAATGAAGGGATTGTGGTGTTACCAGAAAAATGACGGAAGACTAACGGCCAAAATAAAGCATATCTATTGTTGTAATATGGTTTTAAAATGCAAAAATTGTTTGCGATCATTTCACTCTAAAAACCGTAAATACCTTTTCAGCTACCCAATATGTACATATGACCTCCTATCATTTAGATGGTAACGTATTTACTCCGCCTTTCTGGAAATGGGTATCACGCTGAGATATATAATCTGAACGCGACTTCAACTGTGACACCTGTATTCTTACTGCCGTGCCGAAACCGGCGTTGTTGTGCAGTATGGTGGGGTTAGTTCTGTCTACAAATCATGGCTACTTAATGAGCATTCACCCATAGTTCTTGAACGTATACATAATCTACACACAAAGATGTCCATATGATCATTAGACACACCAAACAGATCAACAGCATTTGTTTTAGGCTAATATATATTCTTCACTTAATTAATCTACATATTCAACAATTCTTGTTTAATGTGGCAAGGACATATACTAATGATAAAAAGGCCCTGACGAGCGACACTTTAAGAAGCAGCTGCGAGGTCGTATAGAAGCATAAAGTTGTATAAACTGTATTGTTCCACCACTTAGATGCCACATCGAATCATTAGTGACTCCGCCATCAATGATTTGTACTAAATACGTAAATGAAGCGGACTTCCTATAGAGGCAAATCGGTATTATATATTTACTTGCCTTTCTTTCCCTAGAAGTGATCCCCCGAACATTGGCCGTTAAGCGTAGCTTAAAATTCTATATTATTTTTATTTAAAAAAAGAAACTGTGGAGCTTACTCTCATAGCAACAATACAGGTTCATCCGAGGTAATTGGTGTGTGTCCAGAATTGACCGTACACAGCTCTTTACATGTCAGCTGTTACAAGGCCGAAGGTCCTCAGCAGCAGGACTAACGGTAAGAAACTGTCATGTTGAGATGATTAGTTAAATCCAAGTGAATAGATTAAAAGCTGAAGTATGAAGCTGAAGTACAGTAGGAAGTATTCAAATGAAGGAGCCCTCAAAGCTGCTACTCAAGCTTTATGAAAACATTCTAAATTCTGACTTGGAATTAGCAAAATTATGGTTTATTTACTGCATTGAGGGAGTGCAATCTAAAGAACCCTGCCAAAAATACACGAGTTATTAACTTGCACTATTCATTGCCGGTACTTTTCAAGGTAAGGCGTTTAATGTAAGCTTGTTTAGATGGCTTAACGTTAATCAGATTAATAATTTCTACAGCGCATCTTCAAGTTGTTATTTACCACCGTTGATTCCGGATCGGGTTCGGTGTAAGTGCCAGTTTTACTGCTGTTAGCCATAAATACAATGTCTTTTGGTGGCCTCCCTAAGTATTGTAAGTGTGACAAAATGACTGGACAGAATGCCTTTGCCCTAGATCTTTTGTTTGTATGGCCATTACCGCAGATCATATTTTTTTAAACCTTCAAGAAAACCGAAATTGCGTCCGTTACAAAGGAAAGCACGTCACACGGCCTTTGAACCAGTGAGCTATTAAATAAGGTGAAAACGTTATTTGATTTCTAATCTTAATTACTCTGTGTATAGAATACATTCACAAAATGGCCCCACAAAGTGCAGCATATTATGAATAATAAATATTCTTTCTTATCTTCAAAATTTGTTTAATTGAAATTAAGGAGCCAATAAAATTTCAATGAGTTGGAAATTTTCTAGTTAGTGTTGTTGGAGTGGGGTTGAAATTTTCTTCGATATATATCTAGATCACAATGTGCTATAGTTCAGATAACGGAAAATCCACCAATGATGAGTATAATGTATATGGCGAGTATAAGCGATTTAACGGTTCTCAGATCGCTTTTAGTCGTTTCCGTGGTTCATCTGTCCCATTTGTTATTCTATATTAGGAGGGGCTTGCATACCATACATGAAATGACCAAACGGCGAAGAATTTCCATTTTTATTAGGCAACTCATGATATGGGTATAACTAAGCAAGTAAGTATGCTTGCAGTTATATATATATATATATATATACGTATACATATATATACATATAAGCTTGAGATTTTCGAGTGCCTTTCGGAAGCATTATTTGAGTAAAAATCTTAGAGAACTTTTCAAACCGAGCTTGATGAGAAATATTTTAAAAAATCAACTTTAAATTATCGAGATATGGGGCCCAGCAGCGGTTAGCGGCATTGCGCGTAAAAAAATATTCCACAGTAACCCATATTTTTCACTTCACTCACAGGAGAAACGATCTGTTTCTCATAGTGTAATGGAAAGTATCGGTATTAATTCTTTACGTATGTTGAAATGAATAAATACGAACGTTTTTCCTCTAAATTTTCATCAGGTTGTGCTCTGTGCTACGCCCTCTACCGTGAAAAAGTAAGTAAATTTCGGTGATAGCTATACCGACTTCCGTGGAGTACATAATTGTTGGTACGAAATAACTTGTATTAATACAAAGCGAAAATAATCCAGCCAGAGCTACTGAAGGGCAACTAGTTCAGTAATTCACTCACGTAAATGATAAATCAGAGCAACGAATGTAAATTAGCTTTAGTACTCGATGGCATCGTATAAAAATCCAATGAAGCATCTAAATAAAGCTTCAAACAGATGTACGGCACTACACCATCGTGCCATTTGACGGCTGGCACCTATGTCAAAACCTGTGTGTGTGCGTGTTGGGACAAGAACCTATGCCACTGCAAACCTTTAACAATACCACGCGAATATGTTACCCACTAAATCTATTATACAACCTTGAAAATATTGCCTAGTTGATTTCCCGCTTGTATTAAAGACTACATAGGGCCATCCGGCTGCCACATACCCAAATGTATATAATGGTAATCGACATCGTCGATGTATCATATCCATGATGCTGCCAGCTACAGCCACTCATCCGCAATAACACTGATACATATATCTTTTAACACAAGCCAGGTGAGTAAAAATAAATGCGAGTAATAAATTAAGTAATAAAGATTTTTTGGGCTTTAAAATAAGATCGCTTAATAACTTTCGATGACTCTAAGTCTTAATGACTTTCTAGGGCTCAAAAGGTTCACGTAAGGCTGAAACTTTGCTTTTCTATTTGGAACCACTTTTTGTCAATAAAACTGATTTCGAAATGTAGCAGATTTTTTCTGTGATTATTTATTGATATCATAAAGAGTACTCGATATACCAATCGTTAGCATTTTATACCGATATAAAAAGCAATATATGTTTTCGAACGTACTGGAACCACCAATTCTGTTATTAATAGGGACCAGTTTCGAGCTTTTCATTCCTTCTAGCCATAATGAGAAGCTCTCTAGCAACCTTTGAAAACTCTAGTAGAATTCATGAAAATTCTTCCTAATTTGACCTACTATGGATCTTGAATCATCAATCTCTTGAGTACTAACAGCAAAGGCGGACTTTATACAGCAACAGGCTCACTTCTTCGATCGAAATTTGTATTCCTCACACAACCAGATATTTCCCGAAGTGATATCTGTCAAGTACGTTTTGCTAATCAATTCGAGTTGTTATCAGCAAAAGAAGCAGCGACGTCTATTGGGAAAAATTCTGTTTTGCTAAGCTTCGTCAACAATTTTGAAACATTCAGGCATAGAAAAGTACATCATTTTAGTTATTTTGTATTTAGTAGCGTCTGAAACCTGTTAGCACTAACGCATCTGGAATGGACTACTGCATCTGGCAGAATGTAAATTATTTTGTGTACAAAGCTGTGAAAAGATTTGAGCGTAATGTTAGAAAAACGTCATTGTGGTAGTTCTCACCCAAAACACATGATTTTGGGAAATCACTGGACCTCCTCTAAAAATGAAACAGGATATATATGTACTCAGTTCCTTAGTGTATTTCACTGATTGGTTTACCGCTCGTCGCATGATATACGAGTTATCTAGCATGACTAAAAAGAACGGTATATTAGGCTTGTTTGCTGATCCTTTATCTACAGCAGTCATGGTAACTAAATATATATATACATACATAATTTTGAAGGATAGATATTTAAGCCATTCCCATCAACTTGAAACGTAGTCTGTCTTTAACCACACCCATCCTACATCTACATTGGCAAGTCGAGAATATTCAAAAGTCATTATGAATGAAACTCCCAGTGATAAATATCTATTTCTTCTCAAAGAGATGTCCGGATTCTCTGCCTAATTTATTACAGTACTCTCATTGTATCGTTGATAGACAAGGTGAACCAAGCTGCAGTCAAGGTCCACAGAACGTAATGGAAAACAAAGAATTCGTTAACAGTTCATCCAAAGTCACTGATGATCGAGGTAAGTGTCGGTAACTTCATTACTAATGAAGCATTATGTACTCATTGCATATAATTTAAATAATAAACATTGGGATTTATCTACTCATACGATAGTCTGTGCTCCACTCTGAAGATCATTGGCACGTTTAACCTGTCAAAAGTGCACAAGTACCTATCTAGAGCTTTACTATCGAAATTAAAGCCCTTGTAATGGTTATCAGTCTAACATTTATTAATCATAAACATTCAGATAATTTCATAATCCCTAATGCAAGTAGCCAAGGAACATTTGCTCCAACATAATAATAAAAGATTCCAAATTCAGTGACATGTAATGCTGTTATAGAAAATACCGCCTTCACAAGTGGATCAGTGCAAATCAGCGTCTGGGTTTTAACACTGTAATCCCTGTTCATGTCGATGAGTCAAATTCTTGGTGAATTCATAGCGAGAAAATTGAAAAATTGTAAGTTTTCTTTACCAAACAACCACAATCATTATGAGGGGACAACAATACCCTTTGCAATATGTCAAGTTTTTCGGACACTAACGACCGTGTACCCTACTATGTATTCACCATAATAGTTATTCTATCTCTTAGAAATTTTCGGATCTGGCATTGGAGAATTTCCACAGAGAGTTCCTTTTTATTGTTAAATGTTATAAAAAAAAAATTGAGAAGCAGCAAGAAGCCGTGCCTTTGTGTCATCTGTATTCTATTCATGGAGCACCCGGGTGACTCTTACTTTTTGACTAAATACCATTAAGTAAAAAGTCTGAGTACGGTTAGATAATTGCATCTTATCTTCACGATTCAATATCTCGGACTGCTTCGGTAGTCTTTCACCTTCGTGCACTCCTGTCACCGGTACAACCCTCATTAGTACTTGAGTTCGAAACAGAGTCCTGTTCAGCGCACGTTTTTGGGCTTTACGTCCGGTGACTAACCCGCTGGGCATTATTTCGGCGGCTGGGTCCTACCATGAAACACATTATCTCTACTCCTGCAATTGGACCTAGACTACTCTGTGTTCCTAATTACATAGTTGTTTGCCTGCCAAATGTTGTCATGGGAACCAATTCATAAGGCAAAAATGAGCAGTGCGTTTATAGAGAAGAGAAAGCGGTTTTGAATGATAAGTAGGAGCAAGCCTCTCTAATGTCGGTTTAATTCGAATCGTACTTTCTTCTCTGTATATGCCTTCTGTGTACGTAATCTGATTCTGCAATGAACAGAATGTTAAGACGAGTTCGAGCTTCGCAGATGTTGATTTCATGTATAGAAGTGTACTTTCGACGTCTACTTTATTTCGGTTTTTGCCCAGGTCAAATAGCTGCCAAATTGGTACAGTAATTTGTACCGTATACAATCAAGACTTTATAACTGATTTGTGGACAATGACTGTTGAAAACTGATTTGTGGAATAAAAGAACGGCATCTTGGGGCTTGCAGATGCATCCAGCCCCGGTCGGTCATCTGAGGTCCACGAGGACCTACTGAAAACATTTCTGAAGGGGCTGGCAAACAATCCGTTAATTAAACAAAAAGATGAATTGCAGTTATATGATGGTCAATAAATACCGCAGATCTATATATCTTCTCCAAAATTAAGGCAAACCGAGTGAGCCTCAGAGATATACATGACTTCTCATCGCCTCATAGCATTTCGCCAAGCAACAAGCAGCCATAGCTTTCTACCCGAATTGTCACTGGGGGGCGAGAAGTGGCGTGTTTGACCCAGTCTAAAGTAGACGCATGGATTGGCAGGTCTGGCAATCCCAAAATTCAGACAGATCTCCATTTGTTGTTATGTTTGTTGGAACTGTTAAGGTTTTAAATGCTGGAAAATGGTTGAAAGGACAAGACGGGCAACAACAATTTGTATCAAGGGAAAAAGGCTTACAATAGAAAATACTTGATAGTCACCTTGCCACGACCATGCCAGGTCGCACATGGAAGAGTCAGCCTACAAAAGGTTGAGTGAGAAATTCTTCTGCATTCACCAGATTTTACTCCGAAGAATTATCACCTTCCGATTACCAGCAAATGTACATATATATTGATTGCAATTTTGATGAACGATCACACTGCAATATTGTTAAACATTACATTATTAACTTTTTGCACCATTCAGTTTCTGGCAGTGGGGATGAATAGGTCCGCTGTAAGGTAAATTTTGTTCTTGCTGTTTTTTGGGCATGTTACTTGACCTATAGTTTTTGTGCGTAATGTGCTTTTATTTTAGAATTATACGACCTTTCCAGATATATTTGTGTGTGTAATTGCCATTTTTACAGAAAATGGTTGGCCGTCTGGAAAAGGGTGTCGCACCAAGTCTGGCGTTCGTATCCACATAACTGCAGAGGATCTCTTTGCAAGAGACAATGCGGATATAAAAGCGAGTCATCAAAATGTTAAGTAGATATTTGTTTGGAGATATCTGTATGTAGAATAGTGAGTTAGCTAATATGGTGGTATATTAATGAAAAATGAGGCCACATTGTATAAATACGCAAATGCTTAAACGTGCTTTCAAGAAGCAGTAAGGATTTTGTCAGAGGAGTATTAGCAGCTTTTTTAAGGAAAGTGATCATTTGTCGTTTTGTCCTATACTAGGAAAAAAGTTTCCTTTCTACGATATGTTCTCGGTTCCATCCTGTAAAGTTGATGCCTGTCCTCGAGTGGCTTCCGCGCTATCAACTATCCTACTTCAAAGACGACCTCGTTGCGGCAATTATAGTTTTAATTATGCATGTCCCCCAGGGTACGTCCTCATGTAGTATTCTTTGTTCGATTGTACAGAGGGATAAGAACAACTAGCTTGAATAGGAAATGCATAGAGCTAGTATAAGCTCAGAACGGATTGATGTCACCATTTTTATGTAATTTAGGAAAACAGCTACGATGATTTCCTCATTCGTTTTCGCCTATTCATTTATTACAAGAATAATAAAAATTTGTATGTCTTACTCGACAAAGTAACTGTTATGCCATAGTTAGCGTATGTTATAATTATATAATGATGTAAGATTTAGCGCGGGTGAATAAGTCTGTCAAATTATAAATACTTTACCAAAAATTATAAAGAATATAAGCTTCAATAATACGTTCAATAGTACGTTAGTTTAACTTAAGGTGTTCCCGCTATCAGACACAGCGGGCGAGATTAGGTGGAAAATGCACCAATCCCGCTCGGTCTAGCAAGCTAGCAGCATAAATACGGTTCTGGTTGCGCTGACATAATCACCAAAGAACGCGAGTGTGTATATAAGTTTAAAACAGCAATTTCTAATAACAAATGGCGCCGCTATTAAAGGTCTTGCCTACGGTGAATTGGCTGGCGTTAGCGCGGTACAAGGACTCTACGTATCCACTTTTCCACCTCTAATCTATGCGCTTTTGGGAACTACACGGCACATCTCAATTGGTAAGTGGGTAAATAAATAGGACTTTTTGACCTTGGTTTTCTCAAAGTAAATTCCATCCGTTGGTAAGTTCGATAAAGCCAACAGCTAATTATGAGTTACTTCTGCACGTTGTGCGATTAGTTCCGATATCTAAACGCAACAAAGAAGCTGTTTTCATAAAAAGTATATTCTTCATTATGCGCAGAATCAGTAACTTCTTTAAAATTTTAGACAACCAATTAAGCCTCGATAGTGAGGGAACGTGGATCTTTTAATTCGAGCGGAATCAATATGTCTAGTTTTGTCAGTTTGATGTTTTAGGGCAGAAGCTTTCCAAGCTTAGATTATGAAAAAATTTGCGGCTTATTACCATTATAATTTCACAAATACTATGTGTGGTTAGTACAGTAGCACACTTGAAGCATAGACATCCCCTAGTTTTTCGAAATCGTAACGCAGTTGAACTTATATTTTTTATGACCGTAGGGACATTTGCGGTTGTAGCCCTTCTAGTTCGCAGCGCAACATCTGAAATATCTGACACGCTTATCTACGATCAGTTTGATAACCAAACTTATGTTTCGGATCTATTCACCAGAGGCCAGGTAGCGACAACTCTGTCAGCGGTCGTAGGAATTCTTCAGGTTGGTACTGCTAAGCTATACATCCACATATGTAATCGGAAAGAAAGCTCCCGCGTTCTCCTCAAAAAAATTCTGGCTCACTTTCGCTCACTTATAGTTTACTTCTAATATACCGGTGGTCAACGTTGCAATGGTATTGTGTTGTGAGAATTTCAACTTAAGAAGCTCGTCAAAAATAGATATTCCATGTGATATATTCCCAAAAAGTGTATTTCCCCCTTTATGTACTGTGCATTTCGTCGAGACCGAAACGCTCCCGAAACAGTCCGAGGCATCTGCTTTGTGCCTGGCAGCAACATTTCAATTAAAAGAATTGTTTAGGAGTGGTTTACCAAATTTTTGCAAATACTCGGGATCGAGTGGACGTTTTCGCTTTGGCCGACCATCTGAAGGCATTTTTGAATGAAGATAACCAACGAGTTGGGAGTTAACCGAAAAGATAGGGTACGGTTAGCTACCCCAAGTCACTTGGGTTAACTCACATACTTGGAGCTTGGGTACGCCATGAACTCTAAATCCGACAAGGGATTACGGCTTAACGCTGTACCTAAACATCTCACCTGAAATAAAGCGTCATACGGCCACAAAATCTTTTCAGAGAATTGTCATCGGTAAGGAGAAGTACTGTCGACATGAAATAGAGATTGACCTGAGTGTGTCCAGTGATGGGGGACATAATAATTATATGTCCCCCATCACTGGACACACTCTCTCTGAGAAAAAAAGAAAATGTGACGTTTCCTATTTACTAAAAAACCGCGAAAACTTCTTTTCCAATCCAATAAATAAGCAAAAGTTGTAAGAATAAATTTTATTACTTATACTTTTATGTCTGTATAAAGAATAATGCTTACAGTTTATTCTCAACAAAAACCGTGAGACGATCTGAATATATATGCCTTCGACGGCACCTTGCTCCACCGATATTCATTTAGAGATCGTGAAACAAACAATTAACTTACTTTTATTTGGCTCACTATAACTCATATGAGATGAACTTTTGTACAACGAATGGAAAAATCTTATTAGCTAATGAGGATAGCTATCGTTTTGTAGAACAAACAGATATCACAGGGTCAGTAGCATAACATCAGTGTCATCAACACTAACATACTTATCTATCATTGTCAAGAGGCATCATACTTCTGTAGACAACTAAAGCCCACAAACAGTTAAGCGGCCTCATCAAAACTAATTTAAACGTATAACTGAGCTTGAACGTCATGCAGTGGGGCAGTTACATAAAGACTGTGCCATGCGTGTAGATCGTGGTATATAGGGTCAATACGAAGTCTTCGGGTGTACATGAAATTGGATTTTTCCTTTTAACCCAAATACTTAACATGCTATTTACATGGACCGCGTCTACTTTATAATGCAATCAGCTACAAGTGGTTGAAAGGTAGTAATTTGTTGCCCAATACTGCGTGCTGCGCAAAGAAAGTGTTTCAAAAAGTACGACATATAATACTAGTTTGGTAATAAGTGTGTTATGTTCAGTTAACAGTACAAAATCCTGTTGAATGTGAAATAACAAAACTAAATTTCTTTATGTACTGCTTCCTTTTTAGAGACGTTGTTTGCAGCAGGGTTCATTTTTACAACAAGTGGAGCCGCATCTACTTTGGGCGAATACTCTTCTTTTTTTTCTTCTAAGTTCGTGGATTTTTCATTCACATTATTATTTCTAACAACAACGCTATCTTCCCGTTTGTGTCGTTCTTGTGATTTCTTGTCTTTAGGTTCATCTTTATATATCTTGTCTTCTTGGGCTTTTTCGTTTTTCCCTGCGTTATTCTTCTTATTATATGCTTGTTTGTCTTGCTTAATGCTTTTATCAAGGTCTTTCATCAGTGCTGGTCCCTGATCTTTTTTCACCTCTGACAGTAGCGCTGGCTTCTCAACAGGAACAATCACCAACTTTTTTGAGTTTTCAGCTAATTTTTGAGGTATTAAGTCTCCAGGCGCAACTGCGCTTTCTGCTTGTCGAATCCGCACTAATGCAGGTGCTTCAAGTGGATAATTCTTTACTCCAAACACACCGAGCACAGGCTGTTCGTCTAGCGCTTGTTCTCTTGAGGGGATAACTATTTGATTTATCGAAGCTATTTCCTTCTCATTTATTTTTTGTGGATTTTGGGGAGAGTTCTTAGAAGACATATCAGGATTTTGTACTTCTCTAATTTTCATCTGGGGCTTTACTGGTATGGATATCGTCTCAACAAGACGAACTTCCTGACCGTGAATGTTTGCAGTTTGTTCACCAACTTCAGTAGCTAACTTAGTTTCAGCTGTTTTCGCTGGTGTATTTGCAGCGTTCTTTGCTTGTTCTTGTATTCGGTTGTTAAGGATTTTTAGGGGACCTTTGAACCCTAGGCGTTTTTTGTCTGCTCCATTAAGCCAAGGTTCCTCTTTCGGGGTATTAATGTTCCCTGCCCCAATGGCATCTTTCATTGTCTTATTGCCTATTTTATCAGCATCTTTTATATGTTTATCAATACGTTTCATTTTCTCCTCAAATAGTTCGACGAACTCGTTTTCCTTACTATGATTTGTCTTGATTTCCTTATGTAGTGCAATTTCCTGCTTGAGCTCCTTTTGGATGTCCTCGATCATCCTCTTTTGCTCTTGCTGTACTTCAGCTATTTTCTCGAGTAACTTAATCTCGTCCTTGTCCTTCTTGCCTCCTCGCACACGCAGTGAGTCCGGCGAAAACGATACACCCGTTTTCGGCGCATTCGAAGCTCCAGCTAACCTTGCAGTGTCAACAGCTAATGGAGGAGGCAATGATTGTTCCATAACTGTTTCTGCTTTAGTAACAGATTGCTTGCCATTCGCAATATTTATTTTGTCTACATTGACAGAAATGTCAGGTTTACTCAATGGTTTTATATCAAGCAGATCTGAAACGTAAACAATGTGTCCGGCCGGCTCTTCGTTTTTGTTACCAACGTGATGCTTGACCGTATCTAGCGGTCCTATTGTTTTGTTCGGGACTGTCCTGACCTCCCGAACTTCCTTTTGATGATCCGGAAATTCGATCCGTTTGTTTTCCTTTTCCACTAATGGAGCCTTCATCTCAGCTATGGTTTTTGACATAGTAGCTTTATCCTCCTGCTTTTGATTTTTCACGATAGGGGTAACAATGCCACCGGTTCTTGATTCTAAAGGAAAACCCTTGAGCATCTTGTGCATAGCATTGTCATGTATATTGACACCGTTCCCATTGTCATTTAACTCAACGGGGCTAAATGCTTCGGGTTGATGAAGGCGGTTTATCATGGAAAAGCTGCATAGGGCCATTATCACTAACCCCAAGAGGACGACAAACTGAAAATACAAACACAAAGAATGATTTGCTATTTCACCTGAATGTGTCTACTTTCAATCTAATTTAGGGCGGAAAAGCGTTGCTGTAAGTCTTTAAAAATATACGGAATAGCGCATATAAAATATTAATACCGCCAGTGCTACGAATAAAAGTCCGAAAATCGAGATATATTTTAGCATATATAATATTAAAGGGGCTTAATTGAATTCCAAATGCATACTCTGGTGTTAGGATGTGAAAATGTGATCGATACCTGTGCCATAAGTCCTTCAAGTGCATTTGTTTGATTCGTGCCATTGGCAGCCCCAAGGAATATCCGAGCTGGTGCCACCAAACACACCACACATCCAATCGTTGCCCCAGTGATTCCAAGGAAGAGTTCAATTCGAGGAATAAGTAGGGCAGCCCCCAAAGTCGATGTCAGTAGCACGAACGTCAATAATTTGAAGCGATTCTCCGGAATGAAGTCGTGTAGTGAAGATGACACTTCGTGGAGCTTTGCATTCTAAATATATTCAGGCATAAAATATTGGGAATATCAAAATCAATAGGCAGGCCGATGAAAAAATCGACGATCGCTTTTACAAAAAAAATCCTAATTAAGAAGCAAAAACCTGTATGTTATGTAGTGTCTGTCGGCGCAGATACTGGTAACCAATGTCGACTTAGCATATTAGTCTTAATCATTAACGATTCTATCGGCGTCAGCTTTAGCCGCTTAGTGTCTCAGAGTATTCTAAAAATAAATTATATGTGAGAACACCCGTACCTGATAAACTTCTCTTGATCTTGTGCATTGCAGTAATATCATTGCAGCGATACACAGCAAAAAAAATCGCAGCAATGAAATCACGCGTTCTTTTAATAATCGTGCTATTGCAATATTATAAACGAGACTCTATGCAGAAAACATGAAAGTATACACACATTTTACAGAATATCAATATATTTTTACCCTTCGATAAATGACAGAATGCAATGAGGTGCGGCAGGGAAATAAGCACAACGGAAAGGACATGATGAGTGAAGCGACAAAACCCAGTTTGAACATCCATGACATCCAAGAGTCGTCTAGTAATAAAAGTGAGTTTCCCGGCAGAGGTGCATCTCTTTGGTATTGACCAATGTACCCGCAGAACCCAACGACTGCGTACACGGTTAAGCATGTATGCATAGCTGATGAGACCGTTCTATCAAGAACACGCATTTGAGGTACATCAATGGCGCCGAGGTCGAACACTTCGAACACCTGGGGTTGACCTATTACAAATAATGGTCAGAAACATCAATTACTTAGTGATGATTAATAATACATGAGTTAAACTGAACGGAGCGTATTTAGATCCAATTCGACAAAAAAAAAAAGCAAAAGCAGGTTAATAGTTGCTACATAAGGGAACCTAGTTGGAACGAGGGTGCAGAACTACGTATACAGCTTTTCAACATAATTGTTATATAAAATATGCTATGCAACACCTATATGTCCGATATCTAATCTAAGCTTCTTACTTGACTTTGTTCTAACATAATTCTTAGACTTACCCGCAAGCGCCATTGCGAATATTGGAAGGATAGCAAGTAGATTGTCTGTATTCCACCAAACGACCCGGTGAAACCAGCTGCCATTTAGAAGGGCTGGCAATGAATCAAAGAACATTTTTATAGCAAGAAACACATAAAACAGCATCGAAATCAACGAGAACGATGTGAGTGACTCTGTGTTCCGACGAAGTGATAAAGGAAGAGCCACAAAGAAGGCGAGAAACACCATCAGATACACTCGTGACTCCTGAAAAACAGGAAAAAAGTCCCACAAACGAGTTCATTGACAACTTAGGCTCAATACTAAATTAAGCTTCAAGCGCAACGCGCATGAAAGGCCTAATTTCATTTGTACTCGTTCACTATTCGTAACATCAATATTTCTTCATAACTCGTACCTGCGCAACGCCTGAGCTTAACAGAGCAGGCAGAAGATCTCCGGCAACTACGAATAACGCCACACATCCCCCGAGCAGAAAGCAGATCAATCCCAGTTCAATGAGCAGTTTACCATTATAGCCGAGAGTCTGATACGCGAGGTACTCCAATTTTCTCCTACGTGTTAGCATCGCCGCCTGCATTTATAAGTGCCATTTTGAATGCCAAAATGAATCGGATCGTGTTGAAAAAAATTCTGCTAAGCTACTGTGCATGCATAACCGTAATTAGTTAATAACAAATTTTGACCAAAGAGGTACACGCATACATTTACACGGTTCACCGAAAGGCAAAGGTTACAAAGCAACCTTCAAAAACAGTGTATCTTTCAAATAGGCAAATTATCATTCATCTCTATTATCTCATATACATGGTATTTACATTAAATCTTTGTGAGAAATGCCAAAACCGGCTTCCCCGAAAGCTCTAATAAAAGCGCCAACTCGCATGATCTGTTGTGAGCTTCAGTTGAAATACCTTGAGCAGCAAATGACAGGCGTATTTGTTGATGAATGTGGAGAGTGCAAGGACAACGCAGGACAAGAGGATACCGCATTGTTGAAAACAATATGGCATAGTAAGCAGGGACACTCCTATGATGGAATTAGATAGATTAATAAGGCTGCTTAGGGACGACGGCATGCTCGCTGATGATTGCTGCGTGCAGACTTCTACCAAATCGGAATCTAGTAGATGAAGTAATTGAAACAACAAAAAAGCGAACAGGAAAATTAATTATAAAGCGACGTACTGAAATGATTACTTTCAATGCATGACTTGACTGTAATACTGCGGTATTGCGAATGCGTTGTTTTGCTAAAGAGAACGAGCTCATCAACTCCGAATTTATCAACAGGTAATTCTGTACTTTTCTATCCTGTGTGATCTATGCCTACAAAGCTAGTCTCCAAAAAATATTCGATCTCTTCAACGAAAAACCTAGAGATTTGATTACGTGATGGCTGAAACTGTCTTCACAGAAGGCTCAATAAATGGTCATCTGGTGGCATAGGCGGTGTTCTTGTGTCCTTTTTTTGACGAAAAAATAATGCTCACACTAAACGTTAACCGCAGGCAGTGTGCGAAATTGTACGTTTCGCTTCACATGTTTATATGTTGGCGCCATATCCTACATGTTCATCTCATGCCTGTATTAATATGTCGCTGAAAAATAATCAGTAATGCCTAAACCAGAAAGGCAGGACGTATAAACGGAAGTAATATCTATTACCATTCCTGGTGAACCCTGTCAATGACCGTAGAATAATCTGACGATTTAGGAGCGTATCCGATTCAACGTCTTGTTTTTCTGTAGAACTCTTTTCGGTTGCGCTTGTCGGGAATGGCGCAAAACAATCTTCGGCAGTTTCCGTGCACACTTTACTGGCAGCCGCCATTTCTTTACTTCTGATTTTTATTAGATTCTAACTGTGGTTGTTGCTTAAGCATGTGTGAAGAAGAGTTTAGCCTTTCCACCTTCAACCGCTACTGATTATCATCACCACAATGTGTCAAAGCATTTCGCATACATTACGTGAAATGTAATTGGACTGGAAATTGCTTCCTAGGGAACGCCAATAGGTCTGTGTCATATATTACAAATCTCGCTGATGTTGCCATTATCCCAATGATTCAATCATAGACACGTACAGTGTACATCGCAAGCTAACGTATCAATTCCGCGTCGCGCAGTATCTGCAAAAATATATATGCGTACACTGGCGAATACAGACACACGTAACGCAAAACCATAATATACAAACACGCATATACATACGTGCACGCACGCACTGCTTTCATAAGTCTGATTAACAATAGCGCACCTTGTAGAAACAATGTCTTGCTGCTACTGATACTATTGTTTCAATGTTGTTGCTTTATACATCCGGGCTAGCACAGAATTAGGTCATTTTATGCAAGTGAATAAAAGTAAATCACGGCAAACCTCCTGGAAAATAATTACTTTCGAGTTGTCTATATAAAATGTTTTTGATGCCGCCAAGTAAGAAGCAAAATGATGACAAATTACAACTTCAATTTCCTGTAAATAACTATTGCTTTCGCTTCATGTGGTTAAGTTTCACTGTCCATAGCACAGTAGATCATTACTACGATGACTGACGCTTACTGGGTCTAAAATGACCACTTTACGATATTTGTTTTCACACTTTGGAGTCGTACATTTTCCTTCTGTAAGAATAAAACATTTTCTAAGTTCCCGTCCGCTAGGTTTTCACGCCTTCACAACTTCCTGATGGAATCATTTTGCCACGTTATATAATTTATAGATTTTACGATTTATCACAGATTCATTAGACGACGTCGTGTGTTGCCATTTGGCTCATTATTTAATATCGATATAAACATTTTTCACAACGAACTTGCAACCTATAATCGACACATTTAATCGCCATACGTAATGCCGAACAATTCAAGGCCAGAGACCACCTGCTAAATTCACATGCGTTTTTACCTTACCAAATCTCAGAAACTTAGCAAAATCCTTATAAGTAGCTTGTAGACATGTGCATGTATGCGTATCAATAGTTTCGCTCTGAAGGTAGTTTTATGAAAATCAAACTAGCAATCATAGCTCAGATAGGAACTACAATATTTCGTCAATCGTTCAATTGTACTTATGGATCTTTAATTTCAATTAAATGGTTTTTACCTGTACGATGTTTTCTAGTTGTAACGAATGACGCTTAATTTATTAGAATTATATCTTAGCCATAACGTAACTAACATCAACCAAATTTCGTCGATACAAATATCCGCGAAATGTATACAAAATATTTACATAAAACCTTCATGTTCTTGCCTGGAGTTCAAACTACCTAGTGCTAACTCGTAAGTCAAATGAGTCCGATTCTTGTTTTATTATCACGTTTAGAAGTGGTGCGTCAGCAATCACGTGTAAACTTGTCTTCAACTGATTTTCCCCAACCAGATTTTGCTAGGACAAAATGTTTCAGCTATACATTAGTTAATCAAACGATTTTTTGGTAGTAACATGAAAAATGTATCTCGGGAAAATAACAACAAAAAGTAATGTTTTTATAGCAATTATCTGACGGCAAGATTGCTTTTAATATCTGTGCCCTAGCTATTGCGGTAAAGATACATGGTTGCAGCACCGTAGTCACTGCGCGATGACTGTATAGGACTGGCGTCATTTTCCAGTGTTAAAGAATTTTACTCTATAATGTAACTACGTTGTTTAGTAAAAAGCGTAAAACAAAATCTATAACTTACTATATATTTTTTTAATATTACTAATTAATTCAAATGATGGCTTGGTAATAATGCGCTCTGGCCGTCCTATATAACGTTATGTTTCCGACCACAATTTTCCTGTTGAATTGGCCGTTGCCTTAAGTAAAAATATTTGATTGGTAACTATATATTACTTAAATAAAATATTTTTTTTTCTATCCTATTCTTTGAGATTTATTCCAATGTAAATGCATATTCATATAAAAAAATTGATTCCAAAAAATGCGATCATGACACAAAAGTTATTATAATATAGAGACATATTTACATCATACATATAACCCAATACGTTGACGTCCACCATAAACTGTCGCTCAAACGTTTTGATGGACATGAGCTTCTCTTACACATCTTTTCATGAGTTTTAATCAACACAATAATTACCTTAATCGAATATATTTGTTTTATCTGATAGTCAGTCATTCTTTGTTCCATCTACCATAATTACTTTTGCTTTCCGGCAAAATGATACTTCTTTTGCAGTTCGTCTGAATCGGCCCAAATGGAGCAAACAGATGAGTTTATATGTTAGATCTTTTCCGGTAAACCTTACTGTTATAGCAATGGGTGCCTCCATTTAGCGCACATGGCGCAATCGAATCCTGATCACGCAAAGCCTTTCAATATTAGATATCTTTATATACGTTATTAATAAAAATAAACACCAAGTAAACCACTGACTCTGATTCAAACGTGCATTTCCTCAAATGCCATCAAACCCACAATGTAGTTTTATGCAGCGAATGGTGGCAATATATCTAGTCGGAAATTCTAGGAGCCCTAGTCGAGCAACTGTTTTACATAGTAAGTAAATAAGTCGCAATCATACTTTTTTTTCAGAATTTCTTTCGTAAAATCCATGGTTCATGATGCTTTGCGTTTCTCATTTCAGAATTAATGATTGTACAATTTAACCTGTGTTCTTCCTTTGTTCTTCGAGAAAAAATCATTCTTAGAACACATTACGTGCCACATCTACGAGTAGTATGTGTTTGAAACACGAACTTTCACTGGCTCACTTATATTGATTCCAGTTTGTTGTTAAACCTGTACAAATATTTGATGAAGCCGTGAATTTATTTGGCATTACTCGTAATACAAAACAAAGTCCAGTAAACTTGAATAAGAAAAGCATTACAACATCAGCTAAAAAAAATTGTTGTAAACACAGCCTATTCATCAGCCTATTGAATCAGCCTATTCAAGTTGCGAACTGACCGTACTTGAAAATCTTACCCTTTTACCGCGAACCTATGACGAGTTGCACAAAAGCCTTCACATAATAGAAACGTTCCTCAGTATATCTAAGGATGCAAACATCACCATGTTTTCACTATTTTCACTGGCTTCTAGACTGGTGGAAAATTTTGGTTTAACTTAGGTGTCGTAAAGGCTTTAATCGAAAGCCAACTCCAACCTAGCTCCGTACCAATGAATTTAAAAACCTGACGGTACACCGTTATAATAACCTTCTGTATCACCACAAGTCACATGTTATTGCAGAAGCCAGTTAACGAATTGATTCGCATAGCAGTGACGTTCTTACTATAGTGCTAAAAATTATTTCACTATATCAATAGTTGGAAGATCATTTACAGACCGATCAACAATCAGCTGAGAGCACTACGGTATAAACAGCTATCCTGGACTTCGTGTGTCGTCTGCTAAGTAACAACAACAATAACATTGACCGACGCCATTGTTCGGTTACGTCGTCATCGTCATTCTGTATTCCACGTGTGCCATTTCGGCGGCTTATCCTAGTTGTATTTTCACGCATACATGTTCTAGAACGAACTTCCTACCAGCTAACAGGATTTGTGGCTGCCTCCGACGTACTGGACTGAGGTACACCAACGGTGTGCAATGAAATCGTGATCTGGGTGTGAATGTTCAAAAACCCTCTCACTCTGGTAGTATCAAGAAATTATTACTCTACAATGCATTGAAACAATGTGTTCCATTGTTCGCGTTTGCTAGGAGGATCAAGCCTTTTTACGATGCCCATGTAAACCGTTTTGGCTGCTTGCGTTTCATATGAAGCTTTCACGTTAGATGCGCGAAACTGATTTGCCACTCATACCACACAGACTAATTGGAAACTTAACAGTTTGAACCCGGATCACTCTGAAAAGATGCAATTCGCTTAGTTGAGAGAAAGACAGAAGAACCAAGTATAACTAAAACCATGTCTGATCCTTGGTCACGTCGGCAAAATCCAATAAAAGTACCGAAGTTGTCATTTAACCAGCGTTTTGGATGTTATTTTCCCATTGCTGGTGTAATCCTTGGCGTTTCTATATTTTATTCTCGCTTAATCTATGACCTGGCATTTCGAAGATGGTTTCAACCTGATACAATTTCGTATATTAACCTCGATACGACGAAGCTTGGTTTGGGTAGAATCGCCAACGAGGAAGAAAATACACACCCCCAGGAGTTTGCGATACAACACGAAAACCGGGTACGAAAGAAGAAAGAACAACTCATGAACCTGTAATGGAGGATACTGCATATGTAGTTAGAAGAATCGTCGAGTGTAATTTTGAAAATATTAAATTCTGCTGATGCTGCGTTGTTGTGTTGAAGCGTGAGCGCAAAACAATTACATGTACAAACGTAGTACATTATTATTAATATGCACTGCACTTTTCAGAAGTTAACAACTTCTGCAAAAGAAAGACACATGCGATACTGATGCTATTGGCAATTGAAAGGACAGCATTTTTGGTTAATATAATTATATAGAAGCCTGAATTTAGACTCAAGCGAGTTTAAACGTGGTGTTAGATTTTTACGAATCAAGGAAATGCAATTCAGGATGTTTGTAGCAAATAAACGAATATTCCATACAGTAGTATGTGTTCTCTTTTTATAAACGGTGAAGCTAACAGGTTATCTCATAAACGTTTCCTATTAGAGAACAATATTTTGTAAAAAAAAATGAGTGAAGGTCACTTATTTAATTACAAGACATGTCCTAAACGTCTTTTGCATGGTCTGTGTCACTATGAAACTCACCCTAATCAGGGAGCAAAGTTTTCTTTACTGCTTTGCGCAGTCGATCTTGCAACAGTGAATAAAGGCGACAGTGTATATTACCATAGTTGCCAGATCATTCACGATGCCAACAAGATTTTAGATTCTGCTTGAAGCCGTGATTCTCAGCTGAACTACATGTTTCAACAAATCCTCAAGGGCGTTTACGTTCATTTAAAATACGGAAATCAATTTGAAGGGTGAACCCGGATAGTCGCTTGGAAAGTACTTGCTACTACTACTTGCTCCTAGTTGCTAGTCATATTATCAAGTTGCGTATTTTCGCACCGGTTTTCAACAAGCGCCATCCTCACACATGGAGATAATAGCTCGTACTTCTGGAAAGCATCGTAGTGACAATCCATTGTGTTTTTTGGAAGAAAACGGAGGCGTGTGTGTTACGGCATTTATGTACGTTATCGTACGTAAACGGTCACTACGTCAATTAGGGAACCCCTTGCTGTGGACCTATTAAATCAAATTATAAGATTTTAGTAAGCATATATTATATAAGCAAGAGTATAATCCCTATCATCAGATTATTACAGCCTCAAAGCACTTAAAATGGCCAAGATGTGTGTACGATATAAAAGATATACGAATGTGTTTACAACAACTATACAAATATTTATTGTGCCAAACATTTTTTCCGATTGCTTTTACTGTTAAGACACGCAGCCTTCGAATACCCTTTTCATATAACCGTTGGCATCATATTAGCATTTTCGATACAGTTGATTCATTTATTAGTTGTTGAAAGTATTTTTCACTTTATTGTGAGAAATACGTCCGCACGTTTGATTTAATTAGGCATGCTTAACTAGATTATGCATTATCTAACATCTGGTGTCTAGTAAGCCACTCAAAATAACTGTCGCATAACTAAAAACTTATATCGCTTATACATATCTATGAAATGGATACTACTAACGCATCAAGTTGATCAACATCTGCGGCCAATGGCGGAGGCGACGAGTAGTTGCTTGGTTCTTCAAATGGTCGTAGTTCGCTTTAATGAACTTATTTATTGTTGTTGCATGATGGTGATTTGGTGTTTTTCGATTACAGATTATCATGGGTTTGCTCGCATTGGGCAGTTTATCTGTCTTTTTCAGCGAACCAATGCTGTCTGGATTTGTTACTGGCGCCGCAATGCACGTTATTTCTGCTCAATTACGAGATCTACTCGACATCAAAGTTTCACGAAGAAAAGGAGCTTTCAAAGCTCTACTTGTATGTATTGCCATGATAACCAGTGACCAATAGGGATGTAGTGAAAAAAAAAAACCTTTTTTTACTTCACGTTAACTGTTGTTAAAAAAAACTGTGGTCCTTGTTTCTGCAGTTTGCTGTCATAGGAAAAAGCAAAGATATATCGACAACTGATGTCTAGCTGAAATGTATGTTATAGTAAGGCAAAACAATGGATTCATTTACAGCGACTGGCCAAATTGCTTTGTTAAAGAACTAGCACCGTATTACCAAAATATTATGACTAACATTATCCTTTAATATTATTACTTACTGGAACTTCCTTGGATTCTTAGTAAATGGGTAAAACTGATCGACTGGAAACCGTATTTGTTAAATCTGGGTGGAACGGATGCATGAAGCTTCTACTTGCTATCCGGACCCTATGTAAAGTATGCCAATATTGTAAAGGCAGTCAGATTGCTATACATGTACTTCTATCACGTTCGCTGTTGCTCATGCTACGGAACAAAAGCCAGAACAGTTGGTCTAAAACTAGATAAATGGATTGCTCAAGATAAACTACTTGCAGAAAAGCAATTTCTTTAAGAAAACGACGACTGTTTCTGTTTAATAATCCCTTCGACATTATAGTTTTTTACACTAGCTCAAATCACCAAATCATGCACTAATTCCCATGTTTATCAAAAATGGTCTAAACAGGTTAGCCGAAGCTCCAACGATGGGGAAGTGATCGCAGAACAACATGCGATCTATCGGTAACCATATATCGGTAGTAAACGACCGTGTCAACCGTTTTTTTAGATTATGGCCATGCAGGACCCAACTCACCAGCGATATTTCTTAATTGTCAAAGAAAACTTTACAAAAACGTTTTACCCTTTGAGATACCAGTTCATTCATTTACATTAAACAAACCACTAATTTTAGCGAATGTGGCTCATAAACAATTATTAGAGTCTCTACGATATTGTCGCGCACATAACGGAGCTCAATTGGATGACCGCACTATTTGGCATTTCGGCTATGCTGTTCATTTATCAGGGGCAGCTGCTTAACGAGCGTTTTAAAGCTAAGCTCTTCATGCCTCTCCCAATGGAACTCGTTACGGTACGTAGAGTGTTTTCTTCTATATTTACAAAATACTTCATACGTTTCGTCGCATCTTAGATTTTACTTAGTTCTTTTCATGTAAGATGGCGCTGCCGTTTAAGTCGCGCTGATTTGTGTAAATCGGAAATGCGCAGATTTCCTGAATCGTAAATCTCATCTTAAAATAGAAAAGTAGTGCCTTTGTTGTTACACTTTTGTATTAATAGAAAACTTTTCTTTTTCATGCTTTTGTGTGCTCTTCTTTTTATTTATAGTTAGTTCGAGCTTAGTTATCTCAGTGCCTACTGTCATGTAGGACGCAGTAGAAATTTCAAAATTGCTTCCAGTTGTAGAGTTGTAACACATGTAAGAATCATCATTTTATTTCAAAATTGTTTTGCAACACCTTTTTTCTTTTGTACAGGTCGTTGTTGCGACAATTCTTAGCTACTTCATTGGACTCCAAGAAAAGTATGGCTCGTCGATTATGGGCCATATTCCGACAGGGTGCGTGTATAGTGTTACAACGCACGATAATACCATATTCCTTTCTAGGTATCATTACTTAGATATTAACCGCATACAGCATATATATATATATTTCTGGGGTGCTCAACCTGTATGCAGAGCGTTGTGTATGCCTTCTCTAGTAAAACAAAAAAAAAGCCTTCCACTGACGATAGTGTCAGTAAAATCATGTGACACCATCGTGGGGGTTTGCCTGCATAAGACGGAGAGTGCATCATGAGCATACGAAGTGCATGCTTTCAAAGTAGATGCACTTCATATATCTATGTTCGAAAAGATATAATAAAAATTTTGACGTTACCTTTAGCTGGTTGTATAGGTTTGCTAGATTGCATCGAGGTGCGTATTGATCAAGGTGTAACGAATCAGTGTTTTAATTTCAGCGTGCCGCGGGTATCTCTTCCTGAAGTTTCTTTGTTCCCTCTAATGATTAAAGACGCTTTAATCATTGCATTCATTAGTTACGTGATCGCTCTATCGCTAGGAAAGACTTTTGGGAGGCGAAATCGTTACAACGTAGATGCTAATCAGGTAATGTAGGATTTCGTAAAATGAAAAGAAACATTCTGTTTTGAACGCAGTCATATACTATTTATTTAAATGCCTTGTAAATATGTTTATTAATACATTTTTAGAAATTTACAACTTTCCTTGGAAAGCACTAACTAGGTGTTGAACAGGTAATTATTTTGGTCAGCATGTGATTCTGCCAAGTCCGTAATTCCTTTCTTTGAAAAACGGTAATTATGTTTTCTGTATATTGTTCTATATGAATTTGTTGCACATGGTGCTATACTTGTATTATTACGAACAACTATTATGCATCAAAGGGGATAAATTAGTTAAAAATCGATTGACGTGTTACGACTTATACAATTCTAATCATAGCCTGACCACGGCTGTTCAATTTCCGTCATCACCTGTATTTTATCTGCGTAAAGTGTCTTATCAGTCGTTATAGCATGGAAGACGCGTCTGGTTGAACCAAAGCACCTACCACCGAAAAAAACATGGACCTTATGTCTATGTACGTTCATATGAAACAACATTAGAGAGAATTCCGGCTTCTTTTAGCGGAAAGATAAGGTTGATATAATTTTTTTAATATTAACTTATTATTATTAGTTAGACAAAGAAAATGACGTTCTCAATATAATTATATTTATATCAATCACAGGAGCTGGTGGCTATGGGTGGAGCCAACGTCTTCGGATCGTTTATTGACTGCTTCCCATGTGCCGCATCTTTGTCCCGAAGCTCAGTTCAGGAGAAAGCAGGCGGGAAAACTCAACTAACGACGATATTTTCGTCGATGTTTCTTTTTTTTACGATTCTTTTTGCGGGACCGCTTTTCTTCTATCTTCCAAAGGTCAGATCTTTTTTCATCAGTTGTTTTCTAACAAATATAGCTTTAATTCGTATGTCGATTCCATGTGTTCAGTTTCATCATCTTTTAAGTTTTGATCTAGACATCTTAATTACTCTATTCGATTCCTCTTTCAATTGGGTTTGAAGTAGGCGTTCGAAAAATCGTGCCAAAAAAGAACCTATGTTTTGAAATCTGTTACGGCCGACTCATGCCTCAATCGCACTGCGTGCTTCGTAGTTCATTGTTTTGATATCGGTGTAGTGAGTTTTTTCACCTAACACATGAAATCGCAGAAAATAATCGTCTTTAAAACTCAGCTTTTCGTGAGGACAGCACAGCCATCCCTAATTTTTTTAATTTGCCTAGACATTCATACCACTGTGCTAAAACCGTAATTTGAATATCACTAGGTCTACTTGAGTTACCTTTGGATCGTTAAGGTCCTTATTAACTAAGTTTAGCTATATATGAGCACGTGTTTGGTAAATTAGAAAAAAAAATAATAAAGATACTTGTTTGAAAGGCTTCATAACTATCAACAGTTTATTATAGTTTATAATAATCAGTTGTTTCTACAATTTTTCAATCAGTATTTCAGTATTGTTATCATATTATAATCATAGTATTGCTGCCATTGATTTATCGTTTTTAGTTATGGTCCTGCCTTTAGCGTGCATTTATGTGGGGTTCTTTACTTAAGTCAACAACACTGCGTGCAGCGTTGGTGAGTTCATTACTAGTGACAAATATTTTACTTCGTTAAAAACTTCCTCAGTCGCTGGCATAGCTTGGAAGTTAGAGGATCAGTGTTATCTCGATCGGAGAAAAGTTTCGTGTAACGTTCTCCTTTGCAAGCAGCAGACGGAAAACACTTATTAGTTGAGTCCTTTGTGTGTAAGAACGATAATAATATACAGACACAGATTACAAAGACTTGAACAAATATGTATGTATGTTGTTATAAGAGGACTGTATTGCATTATAAACAGCCTTACAACTTCTAAGGAATGGAAAACCTCATCGACACAAATATTAATAATTCTTTTAGCACATGTAAATAGGAATTCCTTTAGCTGAACTAAAGCCTTATTTGTCTCAAATAAAAAAAAAACCTAAAAAGCTATTAAACTTTCAAAAGCACTTGAACGTGTTTTATTGTCTCCAATTGCTCGGAGAATTTGTCTGCACACTGCAGTGCTCATGTTTCTATCTGCTCGAGCCAATTGATTCTAGCCTAAATCGGATAGGCGTCATAAACAGGTTTACATATAGGCCGACGTTATAGTAAGGGAAAACGGCCTACAAGCTTACCATGTAAGTGCCATTCAGAAGTTGGGGTAAAAGGTTGACGTACAAATTACAGAGAAACCTGCACTCCCATGAAGTTGCGACATAGACAATTTTTGCCGTCTAGGTACTTTAAGTACCTGGATAACAAAGGGATGTGAACGCAGTTAATATTTCTGCTCACATAGTTATTGTTAATTACTTCGCAGAAATCAGGCAACGTGTTTTGATCACCGTATTGACCATAGTGATGATATTGTGCGCGCCACCGCTCAATCTTCAAAACGGTTGGTCGTGTTTCGAAACTGCATTCGTTTTTGTCCTTCAGCTTTTCCGTCTGCAGCAGACTTATGCTGTTTATGTTCGACATAGGTCTCATTGTGTCGTATTTTTCTATTACCGCAATACATTTCATTTTCACCTACGCAATACGCTTCACATCCTTTATAGTTTTCATTGTAATGTCGTGTAGCTATTTATCATTTCGAACAGGAACAGGCATGGCGGCAAGAGATGAAAGGGTTTACAAAGTTTTTGCATTGCATAATAGTTTCCGATGGGCGAAAAGTCGGCAAAGATGGTTTAATATTGACTGCTAACATCATCACTATAATTTGAACGGAAAAATGACTCAATAAGAACAAGTGTGGAGAAACTTATAATTAGCGAACTAAATGTTTAAACTCTTCAATCAAAATCATCCGTCAACCAATATACGAGCTAACAAAATAATTGGCTAACGTTTTTTTAATTGGCAGCACTAACTATAGTGCTAAATATTAAAAAGCACGTATAGTAGCCAACACAGCGCTGACTCAATGTTGCTTATTTTATTGCATCTAGATAAATAGAACAAAACCTGTATTGAAGCATTAGCGTATGTGTTAATTATATATATTACAGTGGTACATATGTGCCCGTCATAGGGCTAGAAATAGCAAGGCTGGTCGTAATGATCATTATAGTTGCTTTCCTCTGTAAAACACTGGAGTAGTCCCAGGGTATTTTTATTCCAATTAGATACTCTATTTAATTTAGGCGCTGTTGCGACTGCTATAAATGTACGACTGACGGGACGAGCGTTGCAGAAAAAAAAGAACCAAATATCTAAGCTTAAAACGGGTCTAGCTATTTTCATTCAGCCACGAAATGACCCTTACTTTACCAGCTGCGTCCTATTATATAGCGCATCCTACTTGATTAATAATAACCACTCATAATAAAAGTGACTGCAGCCTTTGCTATTTTCATTTTCCTTTTTAGTTTGTACCTGCTCGGGCCAAAACACTCCTCTGAATGTTTGCTGTTACTGTTACTAGGTTGTCGTTTTGTCCATTGTGTTCGGATTATGCAAGTATAGGTGCTATTATAAAATGAGAACTAGTAGCAGAGGTTGTGGTATGGTAATCTGCACATGGCAAAGAAAGGGGACAGGGAAACAAAAAAGGGCGAACGGTTGGTATTGCTGTTATTCTAAGGCATAAAGGCACAGAGTAGCAGGCTGAGGGTGTCGTCATTCGTCCGCTGTGGCAGATCGATCAATACATCGGTTCGTCCTATACGAACTGTTTAATGTATTTTTTATAATTTTCTAGTTGTATTGATGTATACTAGTATAGTAATACTGATGTATACTAATAGTAAAATTATAAGATTTAATTAGTCTCAGATGTGTTGTTTCCGTTAGTTTTTATAACTGACTTGTCACGCTTGCCAATGATGCTACCTCTCTTCTTAATTGGACTAGCCATGGAAAATATCTTTGTTATACGACTGCAGATGTATATCGTTATATTTTCACCGCCATGTTGTCTTTATATATTATATTTAAGAGACGTTGTTACAAAACGTACTAAATATGCGTGCCCGAAGCGTACGAGAAATTAGCCTCTTCATCATTACGAACAATTGGTGCTACTAATTCGGTTTACTTTCGACTGTCCTTGTTGGCACCTTGTAAAATAATAATATTGGTTAATAATTTGTTTTTTGCAAAAGCTTTGAAGACACCGGATTTTTAAATCATTCGAATTCTGCGTTTAGATACAATCTGAAGTAATCCAAGAAAATCATGGTAAACGCGGTAAATGCCATTGACAATAAACTTAGATAATATATTTAATTTTATTCAACCTGAAGGCCCTTGATTATCTGACCTGGCTCAAGTGAAGACATTGCGTCGTTTGCATAGTGTACGATGCGTTACGAGAGCGATGCGCAAATTTACACAGTTAAACGATTACTAGTATAACGAAGGTAAATTAATGTGAGAATTGTTTTTGTGTTGAAGAAGAACGACGGTAGTAATGAGTTTCTGCGGCTAGGCTTGGCATTTACAAGCAAAATTAAAGGTCGTGTATCACTTAGGCAAACAACGTGGATTGAGGCTAGTGGGAAATTCTCTCGAACGATAGCTACTTTGAAACTTCTGGTTTCATCACAGTGCGCTGCTGGCAAAGGATATATATATATATATATATACAAGTAGTAGGCTTCGTAGTTCCGCGTTTATTTGGCTTTTTTAATTTTCGTGGGCAGAACGGGTGGTAGACGTGCCGGCAGACCGAATTCGTAAATTGGTTGCATCCTATCGGTATCTTAATAACTTATAACGATATATACAGTAATAACTAGCCTATGTGCACACGATCTGTAAGCTCTTTCATACAACTACTTATTGCCATGAAGATTTTTCTTTAGGTCAGATTGCTGTTGCTGTTGGTGGAGAAGGGGGTAGTCGTGCTACCGTTTTGAACGAGCATAAAAAAACTCGACTGTCGGAAATGATTGTGATTATCGAAGTTGGTATGAGACTTTTTCAAATCGAAAAACGCCTGCTAATTAGAGTTGTTTCTACATTTTAATCAGTGTAATGCCGCATTTGCTGTTGTATAGCATATGTCGAAACACAACCATGCTCATACCTCAAATGTCGACATATAGAACAGTTATGGTCTTCGATGTCTTGCGTCATTGAGATCAATTGTTTCTTGATTCATCATTTCGTGACCCAAAAGCGGACTGGCTGATTAAATTGTACTTTATTGTCTGCGCAAAGTGATCTGGAAGTCAGCTTAGTTCGACCTCTTGACAACTTCTTCCGGTACTTGCAGGTCGAATTATAAAATCATAATTACGACATGTACGTCTCACGAATTCATACTCTGACTCCTACGTATTAACTGATAGCCAAAACTGATGTGAGCTAAAACATGTGCAATGATAATGTGTAGAATCGACAGTCACGCTTATTATTTGCAAGTAACAATCATGATAAGAGTAATTAATCAGGTAACTATCAAAACTGCATCAGTTGATAGTGCGTAACACATCAGATTATAGCCGCCGCCATTTTGCATCGGTTTGTGTTCGCTCAGTTTCACAGAGTATAATATCGTAATAGTGTGGATTATGAATGTTAAAAGTATCATATTTATTCAGCCTTTATGCGTGCTAAGCAGTTCTGAGGACTGGGGTAACGGGCTATCTTTTTAATTCTAAACAATTTCTACAGCGTGCTATGGTGTTTTGAGAATTTTCCCAAAATAAAAGCTCTCGTCTAACGTGAAGTGCATGTGTTATAACTTGGTTACTGCTGGCAATATTGCTTGTACCCTACGGCAGCTAAGGCGAACTTATGCCTAATAATGCAGAAGGGCCTAAGGAATTAAGATTTATCTTTCTGTCAGCCATTGTGTCCCAAGAAAATATCCTGACCCGCCATAACTTGCGGGAGGAACCTATCGAAGTAGCATGACTTAGTATGTATATTTGTAAGGTAAGTTTACATAATTTTTGGTTAGTAATTGTACATATAATATTATGGTACATTTCACTACTTGGCCCCTTAAATATTGGTAATATTATAAGCAATACCACCATCATGCGTTTGGGGCTTTGGTCTGCTTAGTCAGGTAGGCAACACTTGAAGGTAGCCGCTTCTTTTTCGCATCGTGTGAGAGTGCACAGAAGCTACGTCGTAAAGTTGACTTGTTCATTATCTACATTTTGATTCAGTCTCTCACTCTGAGTCCTCAAAATCCGCTCAAAATTAGGGTGCGGGGGGGATACAAACGATTAGCTCCCAAATCCTAATACAATGACTGATTGAGGCATACCGATATTGCCCCCAGAATTAAACACCGTACGGTTCATCAACCGGCAACGGTGCCATTAGCATTTTTGCATTTCCTAGCTCATTATCCGAGCTCCTGTTGTATGAAATTTTGGAGAAAACTAACATAATCTCATAGTTAAAGCTTTACGCGCATGCGTATATTGCCTAACGGGCATGACTAGAATATAGGTGGACGGAAACCAATTCTTTAAATCGAAAACGAGTCGTTCGTAGCTATTTGAAAATGTTGGCTCGAATTATGCTCATACAATCGATTGGCATTGTCTATTTGCAAAAACAAATCTATCACTGGCGTGCTACGAGGACTGAGTTGATCATGAACGAGTTAACTACGCGGTAGGTCTCATGTAGTCATTAGATAAATGGAGGCAGACAACGCTTTCGCACAGCTTGAAACGTTCAAATTGTTGATCAAAAGTATCAATGATAATGGCGTAGCGCTGAGAACAACAACAACAACAACAACAACAATAATAATAGCAACATTCATTGTGGTTCAATTCATTCAATTGACAGCTTTGACATCATACACAGCCAATATTGCCATCATCATTGTTATCCGCAATTAGTATTTAGTGGTTCTGATAGCGTCCGAGGTGATGGTCATTTTACATAACACCTGTGCATATAAATATTGTTGTCGCAATGATGTTAGCAATAGTAAATATATCAGTATCGTATAAATACGATGTGCCAGATGATTCGAAGACCGTAAAGATTAGTTCTTGTCATACTACGTATCTATTTCCATAACACGAGAATTCAACTAACAACATTGTCTGTTATAGCTGTCTTGTTATAGCGAAGTATTTGTAGGCCTAATGATAAACAAGAGCAAAAAGGAATCCCACCCGGCCGGTTTTTAGGGAATTCAGGAGAGCACCTAAACGTACGTCTTGTCGAACTTTAAGCTCCTAATATAATTAATACTAATTCCCATTAAACAACGCTGTTTCCGATTAATGAAAAGTTTTCGAATTTATCAAAGAGCGGAAACTGTGTCAACATTACTTGAGTATGTGGTTTCTTGAGTGAAGATTGGTCTCAAACCCAGATCATCTCACATGTCCTTAAGAGCAGTGGGCAACGGTATTGCCACTGCACCATCATGGGGGCAAGTTTCACCTACGCCGATTAATATTGTGTGACCATCACTTAGTGGCGCTTCTAATATGTGCAAATTAGGAGCATCGATACTATGGGGTTGATATGGCAGTGACTCTTCTCTACCTGAGTGGTATCATTTTCTATGCGCTTTACTATTTCACAAAAACAAAACCGTACCATCGTTTTGAGACATTGCCATTTTTCATGTATCCATTTTGATACATTTTTTACTTACATATATCTCAGGGCGCTATAAGCACGCAATATAAATATTTCTTAGACTTTCACGAACATGTTAGACACAGTTGATGAGTAGCCTAAGTGTCACCGTTGCTGTGTGCATAGTCATATTCCGTGACACTTTGTCTATCTGTCATCGATTCTGTGCCTCATTGCAGTTCACATATGTAAACGCAGCCTTCGGTATTAACTGCTAAGAACGTTGTTTGAGTTGATAACTCCAAAATCGATATGCCGAACTAACGTGGTCGTCAATCACACTATGCTAAAACAAAAATTCAAACCAGACGTATGCGTAAATTTGCACGACCTGGCCAGACGAGGATACGATCTTATGCCTTACGTGTCCTGTTTGCTGTTATTGCTACTAATACTGAAATGGCTATACTTCGTGCGTGTATGTTATACCTAGATCTTTCGCTCCTAGAGGCTAAGGCTTTTTAGGTCATATTACGTTACTGGTTCTTTCTGCTTGAAAGCGGTCCATCTTCATTTTCATAATTCGTGTTTGTCCGCAGATCCTTCAGCCTGTGCGTCCGTTCCTTATGCATGTTCCTTATTTTCCCTCATTTCGTTGTCAGTGAAACTGAACAGACGACGCTTGTGAATCCATTGCTCTGTTGATTCTTCACTTTCAATCCCAGTTTGACCTGCCGACTCGCTCACTCTCGTTGAATATTGGCGAATTTCAACATTTCCTATGGAAAAGAGATTTTGGTGACTCTCGAGATGTTAAAACTGTCGCTATAAGTGTTATGTACGTACTGATTGATCTCCTTTTTCTATTACAGTTCAGAAGTTAAGCGATGCCCTAACGCTGTACAGTTAAAAGGGAATCAACTACTTTCTCTAACATTGAACACAGGACTCTAGATGATGCCGTGCCATTGCCACTACAGTAAACCATAGATCGCTACGTTGTGTGGCCGTCTTCGATTTGGTGTATTGTAGTATTGTCCTAACTTTAAGCTACATCTATAGGTAGAGGTTTGTCGTATATCGGATGAAACATGATTAGCTGAAACGGGCTATACTGCACATTATAATAAAGACTATGTGGCGGTTCTCAAATGCCAACTAAAAATTCTACGGACGCACCTATATAGGTTATGCTACCGCTTGAAGCTTGTCTAGTGTCACTGCCTACGGAAGACACTAGATCACCTTCGCTGAGTGCTATTGCAGGGATCATTACAGGCGTTTGCTGCTGTACTAACGACGTCGAGGCCACCGCCGATGAGACAGTTGATGATAACGATCTTAAACCAGGGAACGCAATATTGATCTGGACTTCAGGAAGATCGTAGATTATAGTCAAGTGAAACAAAATATTACTGAGGCCGAACACGTACTCGGCAAGAGAAAACACGCTGAATGCTGTAAGGAGAAGTTCAGTTGGATAATACGTTAAGCTTGGAAAAAAGAAACCTAACGGGACCGATAAATTTAAAGATGGAGTCGGCATCCGTCAGTTCAAAACTTCTATCGCCCTACTCTCCAAAGCATACGTACATACATATACTGAAGTTGCGTGAAAGATCGGATTTAATTCAAATTTAATTAACAGATCGTTCCATATTCCGAACATGACTTTCGTGAACAGGAGCTTGTGCAGTGTGTGTACGTTCCTGTTCCAACTTGAACCACTTACCCATTACAACACATCGCGTGCGATGTAAGTAGAAGGATATTGTCATTACGAAAGCGCACGCGCCGCTTGCCACTGCCAAACGAAGTTTATACCTGAAATCAACATTCGGTTTTGAGAAAGCAAAATTAAGAAAATACGATAGCATATATAGGGAGGTAAGCTCCAGATAAACATGAGCGTCTTGTAAGTCTCTCAGTTAAAACTTATAGCGCGAAGTGTTACTTGGACAAATTTCGAGACGTCTATGAAGTTATTGGCTGTTGACATCTTCGAAAATTTCGGTATTTTTTAAGTATGGATCGACTACTCTAATAATGGTTAGCTTGAATATATCATCAACATGCGGCGGTAGTTTAGCGAGCTGCACGTGACTGCCAAATGCAGCGAACTGTCGCTTATGGAAGCCATACAGAGGGGCACGACTGTGTCATCATTCGCATCATCATCAATCAATCAGTCATTTGCGTGAACCAGTGTGCTTAACGCAAGGCCAATCTGGCTAGTTAGTGCAAACGAAAACTCAGTGTTATAGAACACCAGCTCGATGCTGAACGATATGAGCTAGCGTCAACAAACAGTTAAAACCGTTTCACCCGCTGAACATTCAAACGTTGGCCTATTTTCATAAGCCTATTTAAGGAGTTTCAGGATGTCGCGCCGTCCAGGGTGAAGGGGGTGTAATAATTTCTAGTGTTGCAATGTAAAACGGCGTTTAATACCCTCTAGTATCCCAGAAAGCCTAAAACTGAACAAATGATCTACAAATTATGCCCTGCTTATAATGTACCTAAAATGGTTACAGGCACCAAATCTATATATACATCACTTAAGTTAGGATAGGCTCTGCCGGGCTACTTGTCAGAACGAGCGTGATAACAAAACAGACTCGTCACGGCGAAGATCGGTTGAATCGCGTCGCATCTAAGCATGCGACTGCAAAACAGATTTGATGCGAGTGAGCAGACGATATCATGATGAAGACATCAGACACATACCATATGTCGTAAACGCCAGACGGATTCTCTCTGTGAACAATAAAAGCAAGAGATTTAACCGGTGCTATTTGCTGCTCAGTCCTTGAATAAAGCAGCAGGTCGTCTTCAACTTTTGTCCAGAATTTTTTTACCCTCGATTCAAAATTTAACCACAGGAATTATCGTCGGCTTGCCTGCGATTCAGGGGATGTGCCTATCGCAAGTAGAAGTAAATTGTCGCCTGAAATATGGTGTCCAGCGAAGAAGACACCATGCCATTATACATTTTCTAGAAGGGCGAACGCGTTTATTAATAAGTTGTACTAATAAGCGGCACGTTCTATAAAATCTTGTGTAACCGTGGGTAGCTGAAGTTTCTGAGAGAATATCATACGGCTTCCAGCAAGGTCGTGCACCAGTTTGTACAAATCGATGAGTAGTTAACTGTTAACAGATATAGCCTGAGATGAGCACATATGGCCGCCAAATAACCCAGATTGGAACCTATTGGGATCTATATATGCTATTGAGAGAAGTCCAGCAGATTTCGACACGACAACGCTTATCTGCTCGCTTGTGCTATCAAGAAATCGTTTGTGGAATTGTAGAGGGAATACTTCAGACAAGCCTGTTTATGGCTTAAGATTCGAAATTAATCTGTAATTGCGGTGCATGGTGGTTACATTAAATCAATGAAACCGTCAGAAATGCCGTTTTTAGCATACGCGGAAACATCGTTGAAAATATCTGCTTTTATATAGATAAAGTTTTAGCAACAAAACAAAAGAAAAGGTATCGTACCCGGTTTAGATTATATATATATACGTGGCCACTGAACTGTTCCGTAGGTGAACGCTTTGCTGAGACGCTCACGCTTTGTACTAGCAGAGTTGAGCGAAAGGATCCGGCCTGCCTTTGGTTTAAGCTAACATCGGCTAGGTTTGAGATACACTATATCTTACTACTTTTTCCTTAGACTCGCATTAATCTTTAAATGAGTTGAGTGAAGGGATAGTCATGTATTTAATATTGGCTTGATAGCTATCCTTATTAGGGGCATTATAAGGTGATTTGGTTGTAGCCGGGTATATAACTTCAAAAAAGGACGACCTTGGACAAGAATTACTCCGAGGAGTCATTGGGCATAATGTAATTTTGTCCCAATGAATCCGAAAGATATCATGCTGCTCCCTTTATTGAGAATGCTATTACGGTAAACCTTGTACCTTTTTCTCTCCTATACTGCCAGATCTCAGTAGAATTCTGCAGTTTTGTGGAATCACTATTTCAATAAGATGGAACAATATAGAGATTCGATAAAAAAAAAAACGGTATTTGTCAAATGTGTATACTACAGCTGTTTATTTTGTACGTTTTGTAGCTGCCTTTCATAGCTAAGAGCGACATGAATGCAACAATCGAACCTGGTACGAATAAAATATTCTTTTCCCCTTGCAGGATTTATAATTTCACCAAAACAAAAATAGATTAAATTTAATTTTCAGCTTTATCATCGTACTCATTAGAGTGGTTTTGTCACTAAATATGTATGTTGGCTACTAGAGTAAGATGCGGGACAATTTAGAAGAACAAGTCCTGGCACCTGACTATCACTGATAACGAAATAAAGGAACAATCATCATTTGTTTGAAGCTCTAGAACAGCTGCATATTTGGAACTAACTCGCCGAATGTTTGTCCTGTCAATGGCTACTGAAACTGGAAACGTTTGATTTGTATCCAGGGGGAAAAACGTACACATATGATACCTTCCATTATGGCTAGTGTTGATATGCCAGCAACAGCGGAATTTTTGTTGTCGTGGGATAAATCACAGAGCAAGGAGGTTAGAGAAATTGTCAGATTTCCTGGATTAAATATCTAACTAAACTGTCGCTAGCCTTAGAAGACTACTAATGTCTTCGAAGCATTATTACAACAACAACAACAACAACAACAACAACAACAACAACAACAACATGCTTTCCTGGGGGACAGTTCGTGTACAGCATTGCCATTGCCTGGGAAGTCGTCAGTGAAGAGAGCTCCAGAACGGGAGGCTTTACTTCCATTTTGCAGATGCGTCGGCTAATTTTGCTACATTTACTAGTAAATCCTATACGCAAATATAAGGGTTTATTCTTCTTTCGCCATAGCCACTATGGCACCACCGCAGTTTGTGTTACTTCGTAGAGATGATCTTACAGATTCCTTTTCTGTTTCGAACGCAAGCAGCTACAAAAAAATGCTGATAATAACTACCAACTTGCGCATTTTCAGATCATTCTATGAACACCTACGCTATCCATTACAGATCGTGCGAAAGATGGCGAAACTTTAAAACCAATCAGTGATGTAGCATGCAAAGCTTTTGACAAAAACAAAACACGTTTGGTGAAGCGTCGTAGTAGAAATATGAAAACCTCACTTGTGTATAATTAGGATGATCTGAGATTTTGAAAGTCACGATCAGTTTATAAGTGTCCTAGTTATGAAACAACCCAGCGCATTTGAAACATAATAAAGACACGCTTATCAATGTTGGTAAGTACTTGTTTAGCTTAGCGGCTGACATAAACATATTAGGGATTAGATATCATTAACTATCCTACTAAAGCTGCGAGTCTCTGATACGCCTTCTTAATAAGACCTTATAAGACATATTTATTTACAATTAGCAAATCGTCATCTGTCTCCATGATGTAAAGGTGGTCGAAGTTTGAATCCGAATAAAGATACACTTTATTTCGAGCCAGCCGTCTAAGAGAATGCTTAACAGCTGAAATAGCAGATGTAAACCTCTGCCTAAAGTCTGCAAGAACCTGGTGCGATTGTTGAGTCAATATGTGACATATTAAACTTACATGGCGGATTTCATCAAACAGTAATAATGAATAACTTCGACGATATAACTTCTAGCTAAAATTAATGGCTATTAGCAAAAGCTTTGGATTTGGAAACTTGCGTATGTGTGCTCGATCCGTACCTTCTCGACGAGTCCTGCTCGGCTGTAGTCGGAGGGAACCGCGTGACGATCCAACAGGTCGAAATTAGATGGGCAAGATAGAACGTAGTAAACGAACAAAACAGGAGTACATGCATTCGAAACGACTCCTTCGACGAAATAAACGCTACTCCGATCTAAATATGCATAATTTGCACACGATGTAGATTCATGCCACACGTTTAATATCGAACACGAGACGACGACACAGAAGGCGAAGAAGATATTGGGACGCAGGACAGAGAGAAAAAAGGCAAAAGTAGTTCCATTATTTGCCTTTACAAGGGCCTTCATAGGCACTTCCATCTGGTAGAATATGTTCGTCTGAATATCGGCTTTCTATTGAAGGACGCTATTTCTGGCGGCCACTAACTGGATCGTTTTTGAACGTTAACACTACATCACAAATATGATGAAGCAAAGAACGTCTTATATGCGAACAAGATTAAAGTTGACTGGGGACAAATGAATTAACGAGATTTAGGCCGACGGTCGGCACGACCAAAAGGCACTAGGACATAAACAGAAAAAGCTTCCTCTTCCCGCAGTGTACATTTGAAAAAATAGCTTATTACAGTATTAGATATCAAATTAGATTAGAGCAGGTTACAGATATCTGCACCGACTTACGAGACACAGGCACTCTAGGATGTGTGAGACGGCAGATAACATGACGACCTTTGAATAGGCCCAACGAGTAAGACTGCTGGCATGTTCCAGTTGTTTCCTTTTGTAGTATGAAGGCAGCATTGACGCGAGGAATATCTGAGGGCCGAAATACAGCGCTACTGCCATTCGCCATAATTGACATTGTGGGTAAACGCCCGTTACTGCACTTAACGATGGCAATACGTTGAAAACCTATAAACAAGTAGCCGAAAATGATTTATTACAATTAACTGTAAGTTGTTAGACGAATAAGGGCGCTACTTATATGCTACAACCTTAACAGTCAGACGTCATTGGAATACTTTTGCGCTAATCAGATCCGATCGGTGGCTTAGTGGTATTGTCGAACATCTTTCGCCATTTTGTCCGATCTTTGTTAGCTCTGCCAATTAGCCCGATATGGATGATCAAGTCGGTTGGAGACCCCACCGTAGAACTAATGTGTCTGCTGCTTTTGTTTTCGCTGCTCAATGTTATAGAGAAATAGCGTATCAATATACCTACACAGAAGAACGACAATATATGGATTTCTGTCAATGAACTAATGGAAACAGCGAACCTTAGTTTCATTCGACGTTAGTTAAGGTAGACAAGCTACCGTATCGCACACGTGTTGCAACGCAACCGTATTCTAACCTTAGGTGTCTATCTACGTATTTTGGCCAGGCAATGCGTTGTTCTCGCTGCATGCTTTATCTGGGGAAGTCAGCTTCAAATGGTTCATCTTGGGCAAAGGCCTGTGAAGGGGCTGATAAAGCCACACAACTAATCCTTGTGAGAGCGTTCGTTTTGATAGCATAAAACCTTTTCGCTAGCATGAGACGAGCAGCTCAAAGTAAATTTTCCCGCAAATGGCAGTATCATGTTTGGTATTCTTATTCTGCTAATTTATGATCGACGGGGGGTTGGTAGTGATCACAGAGATCAGAAGTAACTACGCGATGAATTAGAACTAACAGCTCAAACAAGCTAAAAAGGTAATTGAATTTAGTCTGAGCTGGATTCGACGCCCAGTTTCACCCGTGAGCATGATGGTCAAAAATGGCGAGAACGAGCCTAACCAGGTTCATCCATCCTGAAAGACTTGGAAGTCATTTGAGTTCAGCTGTTTTTTTTTCATTACGTATTTCTTTGATTGAGCGTGAACAAAACAGAAACAGTATGAAATACAAGTAGCGAAAACTGCTGCAGGTAGCAACTTGAGTTTCTGTTTCTCAGAGGAAGTAGAGTTACTTAGTGGCTATCTGGAAGTGACACACAACGTTTAGAGATAAGCAAGGGTTATTTAAAAAGAACCGTGGGTTATTACTCGGAGTTTATGCGAAAATTACAGAGTAAAGTAAGGTAGATCTATTACAGCATCAATATATTTTACAGTGGGACGCAGCCTGCATCCAAACGAAGTAGGACGAAATAGGCTCCATATTCATCTACCACGTAGATGTTCCTGAACGTCCAAGCTTCATTGTGCCTTAGTTCAAGGCAGGATATGACGACTGAGAAATTAAAGTGTGTTTATGGCATTCAAGAAGTAAATGAAATAGTTATATTAGAAATGCTTCGATGTGTTATATAATCGAAAGTATAAAACATCTTGCCCTGAACAAATGGTCTAATGTATCTCCAAAGGCAAATGTCTGCTTAGCAGGAATCAAGCAACTGCACGATATATTACTCGAATTAAGATTCAAGCCATATCTACGATAGTATGGGAATGAACGCATAAGAAGCCATATGCGGTACTATTAGAGTAAACTGAACAATATCAGTTCATGTTTTCACAAAACAATTTTTGGGCTTGACGGCACTGAAGACAGCGCATTAAAGGAGACCATTTTTGAAGAATATCGCAAATAGTCCGCCTGCTTGCCGGCAAAACACTATTCACTTATCTATCTACGCAAAGGTTTTCCTATATACTTTGGTGTTACGGACTCACTTGTGGAACATTTAGAGCAAAAGCTTTGTCATCATCAAATGCATCACACTTATCACGACCTGTTTGTTACCCATAACAGTTACCTCTAGTGGCATAGTATTACTTCTACGAGCACAGATTTAAGGGGTGGCAGCACTGATATTTTTCTAAATGACTATGTCTACAAATATCTATGGCTCAGATAGGCTTTCTTATGAAGTTTAGTTCTATTCTCGACAGTCTCAATAACCAACCTTGCATATTGTCGTGTTGACAATCGAGTAACTGAAGGCGACAGAGTAAAGAAAGCAGACAGACAATGTACATAGGGGAAAACACGCTGTCATGTATGCGAAACGCCGTAGGCTAACGCCTAAAATGAAGGGTCTACTTTCACTACCGCCGCTCAGGACAACTGACTCTGACAAAACGACGTCTTCAGTAGCCCTTGTGTTCTGAACGTCGTCTTGCTGTTGTCCTGCGTTTTGGAGGACGCCTTGAGGCCTGCTTTTGACATCGTCTCCAAACATCTTTGTTTGCCTTTGATCTGTTGTTCCTCGTTGAAGTCCTATGTCGTTACAATAACGGCAGCTACAGTCGTCGGTGTTATTGGTGGTGACGGCGGGCGTTATTACGTTGTGGGGATAGAAAAAGAAAGAGGACAACAACAGGGTGGAAGGGATATAGGTGACGCGGTGAGCTGGCCGTTCCTTCCGATCGGTCTAGCTGGTTGTCCACCTTGGTTCCGCGCCGCCCACGTTACCACCTAAGCTTTCGCTCCAGTCAGGTGCGGGTCTAAGAGTATGACAATGAGAGCACAAGCACCTGTACTATTACTATGATCATGGCTCGGTGACTAGGTGGACGATACGTTTCAATGGGTCGCAAGACAGATGTAAAAGACGCATAGAGCGGAACGCCCTCCTTCACTCTCCCGCAACGCTACAGAATAGCTGTGCTTGACTATCGCTCGCACTCCTGTCTTCGTGCTTTCAGTGTATAGAGGCTAAACGACGCCCGATTAACAGGGTTTCTAGAAATCTGTTCTGTGTTTCGTCTTAACGTCTTTCGACACATTGGAGATTGTCTTGTTTTCGCTGAGCACGCCATGTTTGTATGCACTAAGAGCGTACGAACCTCACGCGGCTCAAACGCCGTGGCGAATCCATTTCACTGGAAATGTTGTCGGTTCTCCTTGTTTTAGCTTGCCATTTCTACTACCGTTATATTGGACTGCCATTGTTAGCCCAACCGATATCCTGCCTCAAACACACACTATTACATTGCGACTCGCACATATAATCAACAATTATAGTGGACGTGAAATAGCTCTCACCTACTAGCTTGTGCACAGAAGAATAGCCATGATTTCAAAGACAGTCTCGCTAGCGCCGATCGTCCGAGGCACAGATTGAACGGTTCGTCATCAGCGCCAAGCTGCAGCAGCAAAACCTCTTTCTCTCTTTGTTTCGTTGTCTGTCAAAGTCCCTCGTAAGAGGCGTTCCTGACAACGAAATCCCGTTGATCCGAGTTTACTATTACTCTTATGGGTCATACGCCGTCGTCGCTCTACTACTGCTGATGTCACCCTCTCCCATTACGTTAGTGTTTGCCCTTGCCACAAAACGGCACTCGCGCAAGCCCCGAACTATGCCACGCAGCGCCTACTCAACACGCCGCCCAGCAGGACCCCATGCGTTTCCTACATGAACCCCGTGCTACGTTGTAAACTGTCAACAAAAAATACTAGAAGCGTCAAACAAAATAAGAAATTATGTCGCAATAGGTTTATACGAGCGTATGTACCAGCATCTGACGGTTAGATAGACTCGAAGAGAGGAAAGTAAACTGATTTTGTACACGTCCGTTATTACTCATGTTTTTTCGTTTAATTTGTTGTGGATCGTGGAACCGTCAGCGACACTCTGGAACATTCGAAACCCTAACGCCTTTATATACAAACGGCAACGTTCGTTTAGTCATCTTTGAAATGGGATAACTTTATAATCGCATTGATTTCAACTTGCTTTTGAAAAAAAGAAAAGTTTAAAGCTAAGGATACGATCAAGTCGTTTATGCATTAACACATTAAAACGACCTTGACTCATACGTTTAGTAATTGTCAAACGAAGACGGTAACAAGCTGTCTACATCGTAAGTTCATCCAAGAATAGCTTCTTGAGGCCGTTTATCTGTGTCCTAAATCCAGCCATACAATACGGAGTCAAAGCTATCATCTGCACAGTTATCGTCGATTTAAAAAGCGTCTGATATCACAATTCCGAAAGCTGTTGCTCGGATTACGGATTGTTACTCGCAAGAATTTTTGTGCATAATAATATATGCAGATTCCTGTTTCTGTCACCCACTTTCAACATAAACATTTCTATCAAAAATAGATGGGACAAGTGCGGGTTTGAATTTTCAAGCTGCTTTTGAGTATGATTTCATAGGTAATGGAAGATTCGCACAAATTATATATCAATGTTGAAATATTGATTTGATTTTGTATTCATGTCGATTTTCTGCTCAACCATTGCTCCTCCATTGCTTTGTATTCTGATTACTTGTAACCCATCAATTGAGCATCTTCCTCATGTTTCAACTAGGGTTCGTAGACATGAGAGCATCTTCGGCGGGTTAGAATTTCCGTTTCGTTTCCTTTTCCTTATAGGCTATGCTACCGCTATTTGTTCCGTAAAGGAAATTCGTTCACTTTTCATTTCGTCGAGTTCACTCAAGTCACAGCGACAGATCGGAGTAACTCCCACTCTTTCGCGTCGCGAGGACCACAATGCAATTATGGGAAAGGGAACGCTTGTCGAAAGGAAGGGAATTCGTCAAAGCTGAAAATAAATCCTTATGGGAAAGGTCAAAATATAGCGGGGTAAAGAGATGCTAAGGAATAGCAGCAAATGACAGAAATGAAACATCCAGCGGTGGTGGAGTTTAAAGTTCTACAAAAGCTATTAACTTAGCCAAACGGCGAAAGTGAAGACTGGTATCATTGAGAAGGGGTGATTTCTGGGTCACGCCGCTTTTTAGGCACTGTGTGTAAAAATCGGTAAATAATTCCGGGGTGTATATGTGTATGTATTAATCGTAAGTTAAGGAAATTGGGATATTAAAGTTGAGAAGTGGGCGCAAATACGAGATAGGATAATTTCACAAAGCGTCAGCCGTGGATACAAAATAACTTGCAAAGCATCAAGGTTAACTGCCTAGCCTGCTTGGCAAACAGGGGCATACTTTATGCAAAAGTTACTTTCAGAGTGTTCACATGCGCCCTTTAGAATTAACGCCAAATAGGTATCGTCTAGGCTTTTTCCTTCTGTTCTGATAAGCAACGACAACGATTTGTCCACTATTTCCCCCAGTGTCACAAAATTTAGAAAAGTAATAAAAATAAAAGCCTCCGGATGGAATCTGAATCGTAGAAAGTTATCATCCTGGAGTTTTGTTCGGAGTAACGATAAAACGTTCGAATTTTAAGACAGCTACCTACCTTTCAAGAAGTTAGGTATAAACTTGTGATCTAGTTTTTTCGAAATAGAAATTTTCGGTATTTAGACATCATCATGATTATAGTCAACAGCTTTTTCTTCTGAAAGTACTGTTTAAAAAGATCGTCAATAGATGCCGAAGCGTAGTCGTGCGGTCTAACACTTGGTATGTTAGTAATTGAATTGCTTTTTTTTGGTTTCAGTGCGTCCTTTCATCAATTATCATCGTAGCGTTAAAGGACATGCTTTTCCAAGTGTACGATTGCATACGATGCTCAAAGATTTCATTTATTGAATCGGTATGTCTTGCTTCTCGGTATACGTGGTGTATTATACAATTTCCTATCGTGAGTCTCACGTGTTCCTTCGGACTCCGTGACTACACGTCTGTCTGCGCTGATTCTTGTCTATCTGACATAATGGTCTTCCTCTGGTTACAGATACCAATTATCGTTGACACTGGCCAGCCATTTGTCAGTAGCTAGTCTGCGCACACTGCTTAAGAAAGTTTTTTGTTGTGAATTAAAAAGCTTAAAACTCAAAAGTTCACATATATTAATTGATAGTGTAAATTTTAAAACGAATTTCTACTGCTATCAAGATCAATGCAAAAAAAAATGTGTTTGCTTTAAATTAAAGGGCGTGTGGCTGAGTACGTTTCTTGCTGTGTTTATCATCGACCTCGAGTACGGAATCGTTGCAGGACCGTTGACTACCGTAGTTGCATTGCTCTACAGAGACTCCAGGTAACAAAGCGATGACGATCAAAGAGCCCGTACATATCCTTTCTATTTGTTATCGATTAGAAAATTATATGGGGATGTCACGCTGAGTGTACATGCCTCTCACAAACACCGATTCTGATATAACTGACGTTCAGAAGTTCTATTGCCACCAAATGTCGTGACATAGAAAATCTCTTGAGGAAGTACCAGATCGTTCGATCAAAAAGCTGCCGAAGACTTCGTATGAATGATGTGTAGCTTCAAGAAGAGCTCATTTCTCGTGGACTAATACGATTTTATCATAATACTTGCCGTAAAAATGAACCGATGTCTCGGTCTATAATTGACCACAATGTAATTTTTTTTCGTGGGCACGCCACAAAGTAAATAGTGCCAATTACAAGCCGATAATTATATACCGGTAGGTTCTGACCTGTGCTAATCGATATCTGGTTCGAATTTTCTCTCAGCTATCGAATGTGACATTAAGTATATTTAGATAATATGATTCGTTTTTATTACATTTAACCTAATTAAATGTAGACTATTTACAGTATACAGCAACGATTTCTCTGCGTCACCAAATGGCACTTGTTCTCTCAGCCTGTTCTATTATTAATGAATTCGTGTCACTCCTAGCCAAACGTAAACTACAATTCAGACGTAGGCCTCGTTCGCCGTTAGAGTTACCCAATTATGAGTTTTCTGAAGTTCGCAGCACCAATTCCGATTTCCGTTGCAGCTGTTGAGTGTCTCTGTCTTTCTCATCCGGTTAACTTAAGTTACCTCATTATACTAGTTACACTTATCCCGCTCAGCTGAGCAATCCAATCCAGTATATTCTAAGGTCATATTACAGCTATTGCCATTACTGAACTGCATGCATTGTGTCACTAGGAAGAAATAGTTGACCTGACGTTCAATATAAGAACAAGCGGGTTCTACTTCCGTTTGGATTAGCCTAAGGCCACGCATAGGGTGCCAGTATAAGGCCATAGCTGACCCCAACCGCTTACCTGTTGCTCTTGGTAATCTAAATATCCTAGTAGCTGCAATTTCAATTCATCTAAAGCTTAAACCAGCTCTCGAACCAACAATTGAGTATTAGTCTGAACTGGCTGTCGGGGCGTACCACTTTGCCCTACGCGTTACGGGAGAAAGGTGCTCTTCGGAAAGAAGTATCAATTTAATCATGAGATATGAAACGTATGTCGAAATAGTTCATATTCATTTTATCAACTTCAACCATTCCGGGAAAAACCACATTTTTGTTTCTAAGACGCAAAAATGCTTTAATAAAAAATGTTCTTTACGATCGTTTTACTAACAACTTTCTCAATATGAACCGTCAAGAGATTCTGAGCGGTTATTTACTATATCGTCAGAGAACTTCCACGAGTCAGCATCATGCCCTATGGGAAAAACCAATCGGCAGAACCTCACTTCTAGCCTTTTCCAGGATTAAACTTTAGCTCTATAGAAATAGGTGATCAGCTCAGAGCAGCCATCGACGCATAGCGGGCGGCAAAGCTAATATAACATGGAATACTGGTACGGTTTTGTCAGAACAAATTTTGTAAACGTCACGCAATGGATTTGCGCGCGGGCATCGCCCGTCCCCGTTGCTATCCGTTTGTGCCTTTCTACGAATGTGGTATCTAACTGTGAATAATTTTCACTTATTTACGTACACACTAAATTCGATCTGGACTAGTTAAAATGATTTGGCTGTCGGTCTAGCGATGGTTACAGCTGTCCACTCCCATAATGATGACGCTGAATCTCTTGGAAGCGATTGTAGGGTTAGGCCGAAAAGTAGAGCAGTAAGCCCTGGTTAGAGTGTAAAGGCAAGCCAAGCGATTTGATAGGGCTTGGACGGGAGCAACAAATTATAGAATACTCTCTCACCAGCATGCTAATGGGCGGCCTTAAAGAGGTATAGCAATTCCTAAATTTTCGAACCGTGACATTCTACAAAGGGACATCGAAAGGGAGTTTGCAGGCATCGGACAACGCACCTGTACCGGACTCTGCAAAGAAGGAATTGGATATTTTCAACTGTGCTTCAGTAATAAACAGGGTATCTTGATCATACACTGTAGTATAACAGAAACATTTCTTTGACCGTGTAGATATTGGTGCTTAGAAGCTGCTTTAGTTCGCGCTCAGAAGGACCTTGTTAAAAATGGCGGATTCTCTTTTGACCAAAATAGAGCACATTGCGATATATAAAATGGTGAAAATCTTCTAAACAGATGAATTACATAGATACTTTGTACATTTCCTAAACCTGATGCCAATAAGCCTCTTCTCCTGGGTCGGCTTTAAGATATGCCGGAAAACCAACGGCAGTAGAAAAATTGAAAAGCCTAGATTGAGTTAGAATAGGCCACAGCACCTGATTAAATGTTTGTTATTTACGTAAACAGTAATCATACATTTTCATACATCTACGCTAGGAGGGAACTTTACACAATTTACGAATTCGAATTATATGGAAAAAAAAACAAAACTAGCGTTGTAAGTATTCAAATTACGTGTAGACTTTTTGGGACGCTCTTTACGTGAAGAGTTTTCCAAATAAATCTGGACAAATCTTGGTGTACCGTTTGTCATAGCGAGCACATCCATAGGCCACTTTTCGTGCCGAGCAAAAAAGTTATTTTAAAAATTCAATGTCCAACTTGCCATAGGGGAGCTCCAAGGTCCGCGTTTGGCATATGGACAAAGTTCAGCAGCTGTCCAGTGTCTTGGCCCTGGACAAACTTTCATCAAGGTCATAAAGTTCCTATGTTGGCCGAGTATATGATGCTGTTGCCACTGCTTTCGGAGAATCTGAGGACGGTTTAAGCGAGAAAAAATGAATCGCATATGAATAGCCAGTTTCGACGGTATTGCAGTTTTTTTTTAATTTATTTGAACCTTTGTTAATTTTGACGTCTGCTGATTGTCTAGCAAAGCTATACGGGTTACCTTCGCTTGACTCGTGGCTATAATCAAAAAGCTACTCGCGAATTTGAAAAGGGATTTTTTAAATGTGGTTTGGGGTTAGTGGGGTCGAGCCAGTTTTGAAGCAGTTATCGAACTAATATAATGCATGAATACGATCACAAGGAATACCCTTGACAAGCATATGACTAGAATTTTATCGAAATGTGTGCTTCCAGGCCGCGTGTGCGCTTTGTTTCTTCGATGTTTTGTGAGGGATTATTCATTGAGTCAATGGTGAGTATTTAAAAGTTTGAAGTGAGCCGTAACTGTTTGTTTTGTGAAGAGACGAACTAATCATACGCTCGTCGTCAACTGAATGTATCACCAATACGACCCCCTGTGGATTTGCTTTCGCCGGGCAAATGTTATCATATAAGTCACTAAATGTTTTATCAGCAGTCCGCCGGCTTTTATAAAACACATTGAGCATTTACATATATTACACATAAGGCTCTAAAAATAGGGCTTTATATATACGTAACTTTTGCACGGAAGTGTAAAAATCGTGCTTTAATGTTATCTATTGTAGCTTATTTAACCTCAAGCTTAAGCTCTAAATGCACAGAATACAAGCACACTAGATTATACAGAGATAGAGAACTATGTCGAGGCTTATCTTTCAATCATTTATTGAATCCTCTGTTCCACGGGATTTGCGAGTTTCAGGGATGGATCCAGAGATATCTGAACGCCCGGTTGCACATACGTAATACTAATCACCTAGTTACGAATGTAGCAATCGACAAAACCCTTGAACTAATTGTACGAGGAGTCCACTGTCATTCTAACTGTCAACCGCAGCTGCGAGAGACTCTCGAGATGACCTAGTAATCCGTAATTTTTTGGTGCATATCGCGTTTTCACAGTCTTTTTCCTTGTTCTCAAAGAGGACGCAAACATTCGGCCGAACACGACACGCGCTGTATAGTTATAGTTCTTTCCTTTAGGATACAGAGAATCGAATTAGACCTCAGCCATATATTTGTCTAAGTGTTATCGTGTCATATACCCATGGTCGCTTTTGGTGTCTTCGGCTGTTCTTCATCTTGTCATGTAATTATTCAACGGGTGCGTTCGTAGTAACGTGCGTTTTTGATTACTGCTCTTTTGCTTAATGAGGTTTCAGCCTTATATACAATTCTACAGGTAGGTCTAGAGCTGTTAGCGACAGGACGTTTACTTATATTACACCATAACAACGAAAGATGTCCAAACATCTGTCCTTTGCCATCGTAGCAAACATGTTAGAGCCTTGCAGTCAAACAAACATTTTCTCATCGGAGTTGATGATTCCCAGTCTGTAGAGCGAACACAAAGAGATCAGCAAACAAGGTACCGCAACGAAGCCATTGAAAAAATGTAGTATCAGGGATAAGCGTCGCTGTGTATTTAGAAATTTACTAAGTGCTATTCCGAGAAAATTGTGCTTTGTGGATACATGTGCTGCTGCTGCTGCTGCTGCTGCTGCTGTTACAAATGATAGGATCCTGATTGTTTTTAAGCGCAACAAACTGTAAGGGTACTGTTTCGATGGGGTAGTGAAAACGACGGAGTAGGAAAAATGTAATTTTGGTGTTAAAATGGTTAGCGCATGCCAACCTGATCTATCCTGCTGGCCTAAATAAGAATCAGTGGCCTTTGCCGCCGACCCGAAGTACCTTTCTCATTTTAACATAGATTGGTAATAATAACATGGTTCACAGACAGCAGTGCAGCGAATCTGCGAACGATACTCAGAAAAAATGATAGCTTTTAAGAAGTTTGACTCACTCGAGTACTGGTCCTCGGTTGCTTTCAAGCACACAAGCAATATTCATTGCAACAGTAAGATTACGTTTGTAAATATAAATCGGGGTTATGTCTACGTAAATGTATTACGCTTTTCATAACACTTAGCCGACGATAGTCAATGATGTTCTGACACTACGAACGAATGATTGTCTTTTCGCTGAGACCCGATCGGCAATATATACTTGCCTTTCTTTACCATATTGAAGTAAATCTGCTTTGTCAAAATATTTTTCTAGGACGAAGCTCTGTCTTGTGTATGTACTACAGATGCCGATCTACCAATTAACTGTAGTAGCTACTATGATGTTTGCACGCAGAAAGCTGGAAACTGAGAGAAATCAGGTTCTTAGATTAACTCCTGTTGGTACAGATAGAAACGCATATCACTCGATGCTGCTACATGCAACGTTTATTAATTAATTTTTGTTCCAATCGGGCTGGGCTTCTCTAAACGGCCAGAATGGTGCGACTTCTACATCGGCGACTGGCAGCGGCAAAGAAGTATTGTTAGCTCGTATCGAATCCGAGGTCAATTTCGTCAATCGGGATGCTCTCAAGGAACAGCTGCTCGCCCACATGTAGGAAAACAGCAACAACAACAACGATTAAACATTTTCTGAAAAATTATTTCGGGTGTTTTGAAGTTTGTCGTCGTCCTTAAATATTAAGTCTAATAATATGGTATCAAATGGGCTTCACACGTATAGTATAAATATATGTACATCTATCTTGTTTTTGCTCGAGCTAACGTGAGGCTGGCTCTTCTAGAAGCTTAGTTACTAAACGGAAAAGGTAATTTTCGCGGATATATCTCGTTGATAGCTGAAAGCCCGTTGCGGTAGTTGTTAGCGTACGCAAACAAAAGGTACACATTAGCTACCTTGAAGTATTATTATTTTTAATAAAACAACGTACACGTTTGTTGAAACTAAACTCGATGACGACAAACGGTCTGTTATGTAGGAGTGATGAATTGCTATCATCGAGCGTTTTTTCCGGTTTGCTGATACTTGATCTTACGCGCTGTCCGTTCGTTGACTGTTCAGGATGCGTCACTCTGAAGGAGGTACGTGCACTGGCCATAAGCTTGCATAATGTTTCACTATACAAGTTCAGCATGCTAGAACGTTTCTTCAATGGATTTTCCTAACTTTGCTAGCTAGAGTGTTGTTGACGTATTCACGGACGATAATCATTACTGTGTATCCCTACAATGATTCGAAAGTTACCCATCAGGAAGGTTGCTTATGTAAAAGTGAGAAAAATTATGCGCAATAACCTATATTTTCTTACCACAAAATCTAGGTATAGGTCCTCAGGCTCGATTTGATCTTGTTCAGCATTTGTGATTACCATTTTATGTATCTGGTTGAATCGACTCACTGAGTCAGCGCCCCCAAAATAGTTGATTCTTATCAAGTTGATTGTCATAGCTAAGTTTTTAATAGTGTTGTTCATAAGAACTAAAGTTAATGCCGAGCGCAGACAGTTATAAAAGGGAATGCGTGATGAATGTTACGGATAACTTTGAGCCATTTGCATGGAGTTCATGCATGAGTGAGACATCTTCCGTGGGGCGTGAGCAATTTATTGCCTTAAATTGAAATATATTTAATCAAAAGAGTAGGTCTCGGACAAAGTGGGTCTCGGATGGGTACGTAAGGGCATTTTCCCAGTAACTGTTAATCCCTACCAAAAATGTTCTATTGGTCATATAGTTAGTTCGTCAGCTAGACGAGAGGACCCAGGTGCCCTATGTTCACTGTTTCTCTATTAATCTTTATTATTATCTACCGTTTTAATGCATTCTTGGTTAGTATCATAGATCTTTATCTAATCAAGAGATAATCTCTGCTAATCCAAAAATAAAATACTTGATATAGTTTCGTTTCATCTGGTACGTCGCCAAAGTTGTCATTATATTGTTTATTTTCCATTGCCTTTCTCTGGCCTCCTATTTTTAATGCTCTATTTTATTATCTATTTAAGATTTATCGATGAGAAGAGTACTAGGGAGAGGACAAACCATCAGTAGTCCGTTCTCCATTACTTACGCGTAATTTACAAGCAAATCAACCTAGTCACACGTACATAGGGAGCTAGCTCTAGCGCAATGGAATCATATCTCTATACACAGTACAAATTTAAAAACACCTTGCCAGCGTGTATCTACGAAACATAGTTGACTCCTATCTTGGTTGCCATGGCGCCTTTTTTATATCTTTTTTTTTTTTTTTTTTATATCATCTAATTGCAAACAAATTTAATAGGAAAGTTTTTTCAGCTGGTGATGTTGTTTACGGCTCGGGAGTTTCATGTCTCCATTGTTGGTGCTTCAGGTAAGTGATACACTTCGATAGGTGCTAACAATTGAATCTCATCATATTGTAAGTGGTTTTTCCTAGTGTTTATCACTAATAAGGATGCTGCGCGCAAATCCGATCTGCCATCTAATAATTTACTCTCCAATAACATTTTTGTGTATGAACCAAACGTTACTGATCTGACCAAGAATTTACAATGAATGGATATTGGCCACGGTTTACACATGTTTTTTGGTTTGATTTATTTTTAATTGGTTACCACACACTGCACCCCTTGACTTCATCCCATGCCTCTACTGCTCTTCCTGTACGCAAAATCGGACTTGTAACCTGCGAAAAAAGTAGGGGGTGCCCATAGCGCGTCAGGCATTGTTTTCAGTTGCGGAAAGGTCAGCTTTAAGAGGTTTTAGCTTATTTTAAAGAAAACTAAGCTATATAGGAATGACTTTGTTTCTAGAAAAATATAACATACGAAGATCTTTGCGTTTGTTTTTAGAGGATGTAATCGAATTCATGATGTTAATCAACGACCCAAAAGTGACCTTCAACCCAACCTTAAAGGACATTGCCTTTGATATGAGTGCAGCAGCGCTTCCAGAGAGCCATCGTTTCTAAAACCAGTCATACAAATTGACCACGATTTGAGAATATGGAATGCCTGACACTATACACGTTTCAGTCAATACACGTTTATATTCGAATACTGATTTGGGCACAAATTTCTTAAAAAAGCCCATGTCAGGACAAAGTATTCCATTAGTTTCGGGCGGCCTTTTGGCAAAAATTTATGCGCTTAACTTTGGCGCTACTGCGCATCACGTAACAAGATCTTTTATCATTTTTGTGTTTTTTGACGCCGACGATCGGTGTCGCGCTAATCTTCAACTGAACACCGAACCAGGCGGAGCTTCTTGGCATATGATATAACTTGTCAGGGTCATGACCTTCTCGTATAGGATTAGGGTCGAATTCTAGACACGTGTTGATGCATTTGGATATGTAACTTTTAAAATGATCATTGCTCCATAAGTTTCTCGATGCATTAAAATAAACCTATTCACTACTTGGATATTACAATAGTGTTTTTTACTGGTGATATTTATTAGAAGCTCAAAATAAGTTAATCTCAAAATGGAAATAAAAATAGAAAAGTTGCGTTTTATTTTGTGTCTTTTCTAGTGATGTATAATCACTCTAAATTTACATAGATAGGCTTTAAACGCATGTGGCTATTATTTAATATAAGCTAGTACAAAAACCTAGGTCAAGTACCTTACAGTTCAAGTGAATCGGCCGCTAGGTTTCGTCAAAAAGGTTGAATAACTGAACACTCTGTTTCTCTTTAATTTGCTAAGCGTCAAGGCTGGCGTAAAGATGACGAATAAAAATGAACCTTCCTGCGGAAAAGCCTTCTTCGCTCGATCCCGTCCGAAAATCTAAGCAATTTTCAGGAGAAGCATAATAAACTGGTAACTACACATTAACCTTTGTTTTTGTGGTAACTGTGTCTGATGCTCCAAAAACCCATTCAGGTAAGGATATATTGAAATGACTTTCTACTAAATTGCATCTCGCGATGCAACAGGGTTTTGGAGATGCAAGATATTTCTTTAGAATTATTATTAATGGGGAAAAATGACTATTCGTACAAGAGAGACGTAACTAACCGACAGATAGCGAACGCATTTCATAAAAATACTCCTACTAGTGTTTGGTTGCCGTTACTCGGTGTAATATCGTAATGGAAATCTCGATGAACTGATATCGTCGTAATTTCGAAATGACTGGAATTACATCGAACAGGTTGGTTCAATACCCCCGTAAACGATATATATATATATATATATATATTTTAATTGTTCTTTGTGCTTGTTCAAATGAATACATGGCGCAGCAGCATATGTAAATAAACGGACACTGTTATGCTGACGAGTGTAATTAGGTCAGATTATCCGAACTTTATCCAAAGTCTGGTAAAAATCGACCCTCTAAGTTTTGGACATTATTTTTTGATGCTTGTAATTTTACGTCGAGGCTAACGAAAACGCAAACTGAATAGGGGTGTCCAATGTCCCTAAAAGGAGCAGTAAGAAATCTTAGAAAATACCAAAGCGGAACTGTTTTATATATTTTTGCTCTCCAATCAGCATCTATCCAATATATATAAGTACAATGGCCGGATCAATCAACGGCGTCAAGCATAATATTTGAGGCTAATTAGTATTACGAAAAATCCTCTTAGGACCAGACCAGATCCTTGGTTTAATGTGCTCATTATGACGCTGAGCATTAATATCGCTTGTACAGAGACGTATGAGTTTTAGTCAGGGACTACCTGGAACAGCCTTGTAATGGCTGAGCCCTAAATGAACATACGCCTACTATGGCCTAGAGGCACTATCAATATTTTTCCACACTTTTTTATTACAAAGTCTTACCAATTTAGTAAGTCTTCTAAACGATATGTGCAAAGCATTGAAATACTAGAGCCACCTCGAGAAGCGCTACTGGAAAACAATAGCGTTTAGTCTCGTTACCTTTTTCGCAAAGCCTGACGCTATTCAAGGTCAATAGACGCATGCCACTGTATTCCCGGACCTGCATAGAGCAAGCTAGTCAATATTCGTGGCCTGTGGCCACCGTCATGCTGCGTCGGATTTCAGACGAACATAATGCGTAGTGGTAGTTCTAGAGCTATCTAATAAAAGCCATGGGGGGCTTTTTGACCAATTAATATAATTTTCCGTAAACTGTGCTTGAGTTGTACTTTGGCTATAAAGAAATTTTTTTTTTAATTTCAGCTACGATACAGCGCACCCTTTGCTAAATCTGAGCTCGAAAGGCCAGACGTGATCACTGAACAAAACGATATAGATCATACCCTATAGTTTTCCGTAGCTCGCTAGCCAGTTGAGCGATAACAAGATCCCTAAAGAAATGTAGTTCATACAAAGTAATGCACAGACTAAAAGGCTACCATTTTTCTGCTGTCGAGTACAGCTGGCACTAGTTAGTTTGTTAATTTGATTGACAATTTTGCCTCCCGCGATAAGATAACGGATCGAGTTTTTGAGACAACGAAGATACTCATTTTCAATGGAATAAGGTGCTTTATCGGTAAACAACAGGCCCACTTTGCGTGTGCGCTTAACTACTAACTAACACTACACGGTCAACCCAGCGAGCTAGAAACACCTCTGGAAGGTTGATATAAAAGGTGATCACATCTTCTCCTTATCTGATAACGACTCATTTCACCGATGACAATTCCGTTCCTGACATGGCTGTTGCCGTTCTCACCGATCCCCCTTAACAATTTTACCCTGGCTTTCGTGTTTACTGTCATCAGCTGTTTTTGGTGTCGTTTCCAAGTTAAAGAGATCTCCGTTAACCAAAAAAGGTAAAATCGTATCAACCAATTTTATGTTAAAGACTTAGAACCCTATCAATATACCCGTTTCAGTACCACAGCATGGCACACACAGATCTCATGTGGTGAAATTAGATAGTGCGACGCAATGAATTCTAGCAAAATGCTCCATTATTTCTCAATCGATAGCCGATTACTTTTCGAAGTACGAAGACACTGAGCATCTTGGGTTTTAACGATCTAAAATACAAGGATACTATTCAACTCATCAGCCGGGCTATTAAGTGTGGTTTTATGGATAAAAAATTAGTAGGGTTCGACCCAGTTTTTGTGTATATATACATACATGATCAATCGTGTGATTAAATGTATCTATCTATGGGTTTGATAAGAAAATTGCTGAAAAGCATGAAATTTTCTAAAAAATTCTCGAGTACTTTTCCCAGTTCAAATATTAGACTATGTAAACGACCGAAATTAGCTTCGTCTATTCATCAGTTGTCGCCTGTACAATAGTGCGCTTTAGGCTAATAGAAAAGGGATATTACCCGGTTTGTTGTTGGCTGATTGTTTCAGACTTCTGAAATTGCTGCAAAACAGGAATTCAATGGAGAAACCTGCACAGGGTTATTCACCTACTACCTCGCGGAACAGGAACCCATAAACAACTGGACAATAAACTTACCAATAAATAAACCATTTAGTCATTGAGTTAATAAAGTTAAACAAAAAAAATAGAACTTCAGTCATAGCCGAAACGACCGCATCTATTGAATGATAGGGACAATTTCTGTGAAGGCTGGGACGCCTCCTTCGATTTCAACAAGTTGTTCTGCGTTATCTTCTCCATATGGATCCTATACGAGGTACGGCGTCGAAGATGCATTTCTACAGGGAATCTAAGCGGGTGTTTTTTTGCCGCAATTCTCCGATCAAATAAGAAAATCGACAAAAGCAGATGATTAAATTTGGCCTACTACTTACTTTTCAAAGCTCTCAGGTTGATTTGTATAGTCTACTGGATGAGGATCTGAAGTATATGTAGTATATGTCCAGCTGGATTTTCGCGTGCCTGTGAGATAGTACAGTTTCAAAACCAGACGCAAGCACGTAAAATTTGTTGTTGAAAGCCAGCCAGCTGTGTAAAGCAGTACCTAATGTCGATAGTGGATGTAAAATTAATTATTTAGGCACCCATTTGCCAGCTTCGCTTGTCAGGACTTCTATAGCGATAAAAAGCGATTTAAGTTGGGGTTTCTCACAAAAAAAGTGGCCAGCTAGTGCCATCTCAAAGCTAGAGAAGCGACACCCTTGTTTACCAAACGCCAACCCCCCATCTTTCCAATGATGATAATACAACAAACAGCTTTCGCGTAACATTGATTGTTGGTAGGCATCTACGAGAACAACGCAAGCAATGAAAAAATAAATCGTTCTTGAAGCCCAAATGGAGTATCCGTGTTGTACTGGGCATCTCAGGCGCTAGTAACGCAAGTTTGTCGAATTTATTTGAAATATTTAGGAGATTGCCAGCGTTCATAACTGACCGGTGTCCTATGCTTGACGCAATGAAATTTGTCGATAGAGATAGTCCTTTAGTTGGATTGTTATTTTTTCGAGCATTCGAAATTATGCTGCCTTTGCTTTGTACCGAAAAAGTAGAAGCTCGATAAGGTGCATCATCATCATACTACAAATATGCAAAGCTATTGCTAAATCAAACCAAAAAAAAATCATAGCAATATTGTAGCGTACTTCATAATAATATATAGAAAATAATAATAATAGAAAATAAGGTATCGAGTCCGACTGGGTTGTTTGTCGCTAGGTGTAAAATGAAGATTGAACACAACGGAAAGCTCAGCGTTTTTGCGTGCGTAGAGCGAGACCAGCCACAGCTGCGTACATGCCAAAGCTAACACAGATAAAATGGATCAGCCCGGTGTGCCGTGTATCGTAATTCTGTCCTATTCGATTTGATACGCAATAGCAATTGTCACGGAACCAACCCATAGCGGCTAGCAACCTATTATGTACTCCAATATGGCATAATGCAGACTGTCACATCCAACTTGATCTATCGAAAACTGCATAAAATGTTATAGGGTGCAAATGCATACACTAAGCGCCATGCCGAGATTCTAAAGCTCGTTGAATAATAAACAATCGTTTCTGTTTCTCCATTGCGTTCCCTAGTAAGCGTCAAGAGATTCGTATATCTAAACGCTACGTATATAGCAAAAACTTCTTGTGACCTTGCTAGTGTCACCTTATTGGAAATTCAGAATTACAAGTCAACCACTCAGCTGGCATCAGACACAAAAAACGTCTGGTCGGAAATGATCTACCGACGTGCGTCTTCAGATTTTTCTCTAACAATATGTTCATCTTATCCTACGAACCGCTTGGTCGAGTCTATATATTGAGTGCATATGCCGATGTGGCTCTATTACGAGCAACTGTAATGCGCTACCCGTTTGTACCATGAAGTTTTTGGTCTTGTCCTTTAGTATTGTTCTTGCTGTGGCACAGTGTAAGTAGTGAAATTTTTTTCAAAATATACTAGTAAGTGAAAACAGGCAGGATATAGTGGCGCACTCCCAAAACGGATATCTTTTACCAAATATAGGTTCAGTTTACAAAAATCCATCTCGATGTATACTGAGATGTAGCATCGCTGCCTGACGCAATAGAAAAAAAGCACGTTTTGTAGCGAAACTTCATTTTTCAATTTCAACATGTGTGAGTGTTAGTTTGCTTTCTGGGCCTCTTTGACCCTATGCTGCGTAATCCAGTCGATGATCGAACGAAGGAATACCGTGTTTCTTTACTATAATAACGATTCATTGATGCATTGAATAACAAATGTTTAAGGCGAAGATGACGCCCGGACAGCTGACCAGGCTTATGTTCGGTTCAGGGACCTAACCAACGTGACGAGCTCACACAGGCCTGAAGCCGTGACTAGTAAGTTGAAACTTTTAGTCAGCTTCTTTAACATTTCAACAGCCCGTAGTCGAATCGTGAACAGTGATTTAAGGGTAATATATTGATATATATGTAGGTGAATCGATAGGGACTACAACAGGTGGTCCAGCACCTCGTTGCAACGGACACAAGTTCCTCAAAGAAGACGGATGTAATGATATTTGCTACCGCAAATATGAGTCTGGCAACCGTACTGTCGAACATGTTTACTCCGAGTTTGTTGAGAACAGGCCTTGCCAGGTACGGTAATGATTTATAGATTCAATATTTTAATTTTGCTCTAATGCTACGTACATCTAAACATATGTATTTTTATCTAGTTCTCATAAACAACTCGAACTACGTAAATATTTATCTGTAAAGCAACGACAGTAATTTCAACGCTGAAAATGATGAACGTGCTGGAAAAAGATGCAAATAAGATATCCTTAGCCATGTGTCTTCACTGATAGCTCAATCCAGAAGCATCAACATTACCTTAGTATCATTATTGAACCTTTACGTGACTTTTCTAGATATCTTCCATTTTTTTATGATCTTGTTCATTAGATTCGCAGCGGATGGTGGAGTTTCTTCTCGTCCCGTCCTGGAGTCTGTACGGTTACCGTCATCAAGGTCGGGACGCGCGAAGCCCAAGTGAAGGGCTGCACGGCAAGGTTGTCATAACCAACTCGTAAACGATGAATAAATCGAAATTGCATCATTCTCATATTGAAGTCCATATTCATTTTTAATGAAGTAACAAAGGTTCTACAGTAGCGAAATGAACTGTCTTTCATACCGATGTTTACTATCTCTATATATATATGTATACTATCTCTACTCTAAATCAGCGGTTTGATTTTTCTAGTAGTTAGTATATACAGGCCATGAGACTGGACGAACAATCGGCTGTTCGGTGGGCACCTCGGTGTAGCTACCAGTCTTTTGCTTCGAGTACGTTTGTTTTTAGATAAGATTTATTTATGTGGCAGTATGAGACACGGCTTGGATTTCGTCGGTTAGGCTGTTGCAAGATTTCAACAATGGCACAAATAAAGCCCTTCTTCCCAAATTGTGAGCCTCCAGCAGACTGCGTAGACGTACTGCATAGGTACAAGCTCTTGTCTAAATGATAATTATTGTCAGCGCTGGATGACTTGCAGGTTTCAGACCCTTAGATTGACATTGTAGCTATCAACCTACTTTCAGTTAACTCACTAGGAAGCAACAAGATCAAAGGATCAAGCTTTCTTTCATAAAATTTCTGTCCGGATTACAGACCCTGATATTGGAAATGAAAGACTGGATTTCTCTAAAGTAAAGAGTAATGCGATGGCTGCTAACCTGTCCAGGGAGGGGATAACTTGAACAAGTCAAAGTAAATTATATTTATGATAGTTTTATAGAATGCTCGATTTATTTGAACGAACTTTTGTAGGGTTGACGAGCTGACGTCCAGATGCTAGGTCTAAGATATGAGACAGTAAATAAACCGATGGCGAATAACAGACACAGCAGCATATTGTGTTTAAGTTGCGAGGAACACGAGCGTCTTGAGGCTTCACGAATCCCCAATGTATTGTAGCGTAGAAGATGACCTAGAGCATGCGTTATGGCCCTTAATCTCATTCTCGTGAGTCCAGCCTCTTAGCCGTTCTGCGCCGTGGCGACAGTTCGTAGATGATCTCCGATCAATGAGGCAGTGTATTTTCTCAAATTTAGAATTTTTCTTTGTTTTCGACGAAGACCCGATTACGCCGGAATTATTTGTGGGGAGACGTTCGATGCATCTCTGTGACATCCGTTCGTAATTTTATGGGCTCGGAAAAGTAACAAAGAAGAAATGCTCGATACGATGCGATTTAGCAATGATACAGGTTATAGATCCTAGGATGCACACCTTCAATAAGCTAGCCTCTGACCGATCGACTGGCTCTTCAAACTTTTCATGATAACTACTGACCGTGGGGCGTAGCATGAGCTATACGAAGAACGCTGCAATGCCTAAAATCAAAGGACAATAAATCCTAATGTTACTTACTAATGAATTCAGATTATTATGTCGACACTTGCTCGCTCATACAGATAAAACCGGTCCATCTTAATATATCTTAGTTGCGGTACCCGTTGTTAATTTGTTGAACCTATTTTACAGCTAGGAAAATTATTTAATTCAGTGTAAATATTCGTCTATGCCGTATCATCTAGTGATCATATATCTGTAATCGGTAGTCGTCTAACAAATGCGAATTATTCGAACAAGTATCATTCAGTCCTTGATTTGTCCTTGAGAGCAGTAATAGGGCCATGAGGTGACTCGTATCGATTTACAATAAAACTTGTCCTGCAGTACTGCAATTTCCTAGAAAGCTTTTTGCCAAAAGTTAGTATTAATCTGCGCACATCGCTTTTTGACTGTATGATAATCTTATCTCATTGGCATCTTTAGGAAACTATTAAAATTTTATAGGACCGACTCGAAATGCATTTGATGACTTTTTTCATGGACACACAGCGCGCGTGCATAATGAATGTACTCTGCTCACCTCTGGTCATAAATCTTGATAAACATGTCAACCACACTGCTCCTGTCGTGGTTTCTATACAAGTAGTACTAGAAATGGCCACAAATAGGAGGACGCAAATTCTAGGAACTTGTTTTTAAAACAGCGGATAAAGCCGGACTCCTTTTACTAATTGCTAGCCGCTTCACGAACGTATTTGTTCGAAACCGATACCACTGGAGGAAAGCCCGTTTCAAGGACGATATAAATAAATTTGCAACTATGGGGGAACATTGTGCTTGCCGGAAATTAAGCGAAGATCGCCAATGAGTCAATTGCTTCAGGTGCAGCCAACCCGCGCTAAGACTGAAGACTTTTTGTTGCTTGAAGGCGAAGAAAAACACTATTGCCAATTGTGACTCGTGAGATTTTGGCATTAACAAAAACATTTCTGATAAGTACTGTTCGCCTTTAAAGCAATTTATACATATTTGCATCCGGTAGGTAAATGGTCGAGGTACAACTGAGGGAAATCTGAACACGTCATAGGACTAAGCTGAGGACTTAGCAAGATGTTCGAAACTCACTTTTAACACGCGTCCTGACATAGTGAACAAAAATGTACGGAGGACTCGCGCAAGATGCGATATTTCCGAAGAATTCAGTGTGCTCACGCTCATATCTAAATTAAGCGAGGAAGTTGATGTCAAGATTATTGAGAAACTGCAAAAAACTTGATTTGATAAATAAGGCCAACAAGGACAAGGTAATCTATTAATTGAAATACCGGGACGACCATCTTGACGGCCAACTTCGGAAGAACGCCAGCAAGAAAAAAAGTGAATATATCTACTAGAAATATTTTCTATCACAACATTTGTGCATCTGAAGCTTTACGTAAAAACAATATCTGTGAAGTGGGCTTCTTTAACTTGCTTCCTGGTAATTATTCGTCTCACCCAGTTTTTAGCCATTTTTTAGTACATCTAGTCCTGTTTCTGAAATTTATTTTCGGTGGCACAGACTTAAATTCGCGCATTGGTTTGGTGCACCTTTATTTCCTCATACCCTTTTAGATGGAAACTGAGGGGAATTAAATCATATGATCCATTATCTTTTTCCCATATGCTGATGAACTCCGAATAGGCATCACTCTATAGAATGGAGTGAGCGGGAATTTGCATATCGGATTTTCTACGAACGGCAATGCGTCGCGTAAGGGGTGCAGGAATGAAAGTTTCAATTAGCAAAGTCTAAGCTTCTCCGATGAGCGCTGTTCCCGTACAACTCGACCTTCGCTCGGGGAAAGCAATCGGGACCACATTCACTCTTTCCTCTATACTCGCGATCGTCGCTCGCCGCACTCAGTCCATGACATGCTTCATGTAGGTTAAAACTGTTTGCAGGAACGACCACCCGGACGTGTTTGGAAACACACAATGAATTCATTTGTTGCAACATTTAAGTTAGGACGTTGCATCCTTGATAAGTGAGAAAACCTTCATTACTTACGTTCCAATCCAATCTATAAAAGTATTCGTTGACGTTTAAAGCTAATATCAATATCTAAGTAATGCATTACTAGTAAAAATGTAAGAAATGGGTACTTTGTGTAAGTAATACACCGCAGTACTTCCTGTTGCATTCAACATGTACCTCTTTTGTGGCCACGCTAAGGCTATTGAATTGAGTAAGTTTGAACGTTACTGATTACACCTAGCGAAGTCATTTGGCTCCGATGGTAATTCGCTCACAAAACTTTACCATACCGGAAGCGCTCCCACAAACCAGCCTGAGAAAGTTTTTGTACATGGAGCCTTTATTTCTACTGATTTTGCTGTACCTACCCTTGCTGAAGATTTATCTGAACCGTATGCACGAAAAGATGCGCCTGAAATAGGCGCATACTGTCCTATATCAGTACTGCAATTCGCTGATCCGCATTTTGGGAGATGATAAGACTAACCAATAATAACCAGCTTATCAGGATACAATCCTAATACCAAAATGGAAAATCAGGCCTGCTTTTGGATTGGTTTACTTATTATAAGTTGTTGAATGGGGAATTGAATGGATGCAGCACAAATTTCATTCGTGGCTCTTCGATGAAAAATTAAAAAAAAACGATTTCTAAGTACTACCCCGAACAGTATACTAAAGAGATCACTTAGAAACTCTGCTCCGTCAATGAACTTAGGTAATGCAGTTTGAGGACAAACGATAACTTAGCACGAGACCGGTTCTTGGTTTTTCGTTGTAATCGGACTACATGCACGCGTAGGACTCAACTACAAAGTCTTTAATATACTCCTTTTTTTTTTTTTTGATGATTTTCAAAATTCTTCTGTATAGATGTTTGTGTACAGCCAAGCTGTAGAAGTGTAAATGTCTCGATGCGATAGACGGTTCTTATGTTATTGCTCATCGTAATGGTCTACATATATACATACTTCCTGTTGTAAGCTCCAATGGCTATTTTATTTATCAAATAAGGATTTAAATTACCAAAGGTTCTTGACCGTCAGGATCGCTGACACATCATGGAGCATTAGAACTAAAAAAAGAAATCATCAGTATCCAAATTTAGTGAATTGCAACGCTATGGCAAGAATATCTATCCAGATAGGTGTGAAGGGCAGCTTTAACAAGAAGTATTTCTTCTTATTAACAGAATTACACAGAAAAAGTAGTTTGTTTGAGAATTAGAAAGATCGCTTCAGAACTAAGCATGTAAATAATTATATATTTTCAGGCCGAACGCCTTACTAGCTGAAAACTTAGCGTCCTTCATGAAGGCAAATTATGAGATTCAAAAACATCGCTTCAGAAATCTTCGTGTTTCTCGAGCACGATTCAGGCTATTGACCGTGCGCTTGTTTGTATGCTGGAATGTATCATTGTATCTGCATCTCTTCTATGCCGCGATTTCGGCTGCTGTACCCGCAAACGTGATGCACTAATTGGCAAAAAGGGAACCTCGTAAGATCAATGCTTTGTGTTAATTTTATCGCTCAAGTAATATAAAGATTGATATCGGCGCTTGTGTAGTGATTGTTTATCCGAAGTATATTCTCGCTAGTTTACATTTGTGTTTTTCAGCCTTTCGCTAGCAAGGAAGCGTTTTGGCTTATCTTTTCTCGTTAGTCTAGCATTGTAATATCACTGTATAAAGTCCCTTCAAGTAAAAAAAACAATTAAAAAAAATAAGCAGCATATATATATATA